TTTGCTAAATATGAATAAGATCATTCTCGTACCCAGAGCCCTTCTTACGCGCGGTCAACCGAGCTCGACGAGGGGCTCTGGCCAAATCCATAACCGGATACCATAAAAACATGGTATCCGGTTAAACACTTTTCTCCAGGAAAACCCCACAAAAGCGGTAGGTTTCGCTAATTTTATTTATTTAAATCAATTAGTAGGTAAGACGTGATGTTCTCAATGCAGTTGATAAAATTTAGTATATATTTCTCTCTTAAACGTTGTCAAAGCAGTAATGGCTACGGATACGAAGACGAGAGATTGTCTCCGTATTTTATATTCGATTTTAAGTCGCTGTTGTACGGATTTTTAGAATATTTTTTGTGTTTCATTAAAAGTCCACAGTCATATATAAGACATACTATACTGCAAATCCTTTGAAAATTGTGAAAAATCGGTTTCTAAGAAAAAAATAGTCATCACAAACTTCATATTCTGGCTGGCTTATTTTCTCTTCAGATGGCACTTCAGCTTTGAACATGTAACACAGATTTGTTTCATTAACCGACCACTGATTTGAGAATACGACGTGCATCTGCCATAAATATATGTTGACTTTTTGCTGTGAGAACATCACGTCTCAAGCTATATTAATTTCAATCAACTAATTGATTTAAATAAATAAAATTAGCGAAATCTACCGCTTTTGTGAGCGATTATCAACAACAATCTTCCTAACTGCTTCGTACTGCTGTTCTTTCAACTTTAATAATGTCTTTTCTCCCAATTTTCTCCAAAGCGAAACCAACGCTTCAATAGCGCTTGCGTATTTTTATTCATATTTACAATAAACCATATATTTCGTTGTGGCCAATCAGAAGCCAGTTTGATATGGATTTGGCCAGAGCCCCTCGCCGTGCTCGGTTGACCGCGCGTAAGAAGGGCTCTGGGTACGAGAATGGAATAAGATATAAACACTCACTGTTATATTATTTAATTCCATAAGATAGTTCTCAACTTTTAAATCTCTGTGCACAATTCCCTGTTCGTGAAGGTAGGTAACGGCTCTACCAGCTTGCAAAATGTACGATTTGAAATTTTTACGAAGGTTTGGTCGATCCAGCAACACATCCAGAACATTTCCTTGTGGGAAGCTCTCAGAAATCTGCAATGAAAAAGAGGCTAACAAACATATCGTATAGCAATCCTTTACAATAAAGTATTAATAAAAATAAAACAAAATGCCTCCCAGGAACGTGCGGTACGCACAACAGATATAATGTGTCTGCGCCTTAGAGTATTTACTCATATAGCCTTTTAGAAAATGACGAAAAGTTTAGATAATATTCAACTTTTTCTCGTTTGAATGTTTGGCCAAGCGGTGCGTATAAATATATGATTGCTTCGGTTTGTATAATGTTTTGACGACACTTAACCCCCCGTTCGAAAGGTTATTTTGTGAGGATTACAATGGTTGGTTTTGTTTTAAAGGAGGTAAATACTGGTCGCGATATTTACATTAGAAAAAATGAATCGTAATGTGATGCGAAACCGACATGTCGTGAAAGAGTTAGCACTTAGTGTTTAACAACTGAAATAACTAGAATACTTTTTAAGGAGGCTTCCTACAGCAGCACGTGCGACGAAAGTAAAAAAAGCTCGTGGCGAGAATGTGCATGACTAACCCACCCTACCAAATGCCAGAATCAAAACAAAATTTATTAAGGGGTTCGTAAGCTTTCAATAATCTTTCGTTTTATATGACAAATCAATACTCAATATAGACCTCATGCATAATGACGTCACAAGACGTGACGCGTGCGGGAATTCTGGACTTAGTGGTCACGACGGAAAAACAATCCAACATTGCCCACTGTCGTAGGTGAGTGTGCTGCCGATCTTTGTCGTTTTTAGAGCCTGTTGAAGCCAAAACTCTTACACGGTTCTTCATAGGTTTGGTAGCGCCGACTAAAACGGCAACAAAAGTATAACAATTGGCCGTTCAACGAGTTGTGTTCGTCGTTGCTTTACCTGGCTAACAACAATAAAATAGATCTATATTCTGTTATATATAAACGAGTTATATTCTCTGTTTTTATTGTTAGTCGATAATTCGTTGGTACAGGATTTAGAACATTCAATGAATGTGGTGGCTGGTTCATATAGATTTTACGTGTTACGGGTGAAATTTTATTTTATAATTAACTTCAGGTCAAAGCATTATATACTGTACAATACAAACCATTTCTAGTCGATCGGGTCCAAAAGGATTAACAGCCATAACCTTGACAAGTTGTGGAAAATCTAACTTTTGCAATTTTTCGACCAGTTTTATATCCTTGAATTCCATGTACTCAAGTACACGAATTTCTTTCCATTCGACATGCTATAATACAGGAAACAATTCGTATTTTAACTCGTCCCCGAGTCAACGACGCGGAGGTTCCGCACGGCTATTTATACCCGGGAAAAGGAAGGCTGTTAGCAGTTTCAAAAGTAGGGTATAGTGGGTGGTCATCTCACTGATCTCAAAATATGGCGGACTGCCAGGAGTGGAATGAGCCCACTGCAAATATTTCAGTTTAAAAGAATGAAGACATATATGAAAACGTTGTTTCGTAGAGTGAGCAGTAAAGCGATTTTTTTAATTGTACTTTAAATAAATGAGAAGAAGAGATTTATTTTATTTATTTAAGACATTTGCAACAAAAGACAAGTTGACAGGAGACAAGCAATAGGACACGTGGTCCCTTACAATGCTTGACTCTAGATTACAACATATATAACAGACAATATAATATACAAACAGTTACTTAACGTAAATTTTTAAAATGTTAAGTTAGCAGCTACAAGCTGCGTCCACATTGTGGCTTCTGCAAATGGGACAGATTATATGCCACGTACGCGGTGTATTTTCCGAGTCGAATGCGGACTGAAGGCGAGCAAAGAGTAGCATTTTCAGTCGGGTGTTAAAACCTGATGTGCGCTCTGAAGTACGTATATCAAGAGGTAACGCATTCCACATAGGACAGATACAAATGAAAAATGATTCGCGAAATGTAGATGTTCAAGCGAAATTTAAGCGGAGATCCATCCCCGAGGTTCCACAGCGAGTCTTGGAGTGTGAAAATTGTACAAATCTTGATACGTCGAGACGTATTTCGCCGTTTATACAACGGAAAAGAAAAAGGAGGTCAAGATATTCTAGGAAGTAACACAGGGGTAATAACTTTAATTGAATGAGCCGGCACTTGTAGTCGAGTTCAAATCCACGAAGGATGAAACGTGTAGCCCTTCTTTGTACTTTCTCCAAACTTCGCATCAAGTAAATAGAACCACGAAAACAGGGAGACCATACTTGGCTGGCATAGATAAGATGTGATCTTACCAGCGAGATGTAAAGAGTTTTTTGTATATTACATCAGCATGCAGACACCCTTTGAACATATCCCATATTTGAGATATAATATGGGAAATGATGAAATAAAAGCAATTAAGTTTGCTTTGTTTCTTATGCGTTTTCCACTTGCCTCCTAAACGGCCTAATTTTCTTCTAGAACTAAGAAAAACTTATTATTTCCAAGAGCAAACTCTATGATTTATCTGATTTCGTTGCAAGTAATAAAAATACTATTAATTTAATTTAATCGGCAAAAACTAGTCTGCCAAACAACTGAAACGGCATAATTATATAATTTAAAGTTAAATAAATATTTCGTGAAGTGTTCAATGTCGAATAATTATTATCCTGAATTCACACTTATAAAGTGAAAAATAACATGTACCTACTTTATATATTTAGGAATTGATTGTTCGAAAGTTAAAAGAGTTAAGCTTCATTAATATTTTTTGCTGTTTATACAAAAAATGGAAATTAAAAACAATGATCGTGCATTCGTTTTGCCGTGTGGTTAACATGACGCGAGGAACGCAAGCCGGCGTTCAGTGGTGGCGTAATTTACAATGCTTCATGTCAAAAAGATGTTTAGAGAAATAAAGGCGAGGGGTTTCTGCAAGCCTGTATTTCTAATTACGTTTTAAAGTATCCCCGCTCTCGTGCAGGATTACTTGTATAGAAACCTTTTATGCTTCCCTTCACTTGACACATCTGAGCCAGTTAAGCCCCAAGGGTTTGTTTTTCGTCTTGGTTTTATGTCTGCTATTTATTTTGCACCCTTACATATATTTAATTATTATATATTTAAGAACTATATCATGACCATGGGCATAACTTAAAACTATAAAACAACACCTGTAAATAGCAGAAAATATTCGGAAACTCAGTGCCAGACCGACACCCGAAAGTTGAATTAATAACAAACCTGTATGTAGCCTATAACATAGCATATTTCCTTTTTTGTTCCATAATTTCGTTAATACTCAGTATTAGTATTTTTGCACAAGTGAACATAACAAATCCTACAAATTGATTGGTCAAATTTGACGTATTAAGCTGTTATATTCACCTATAGGTGAATATAACAAAACCGAAATTTTCAAAATGGCGGCTAGCCGTTTTGTGGCCATTATACTGGTAAATAAATAAGCAAAATTAAAATAAATTCAGTCCCAAATTAAAGAACTCAAAAATACTAAAACAATTATTCGCCTCAGGATCGGTGGTTATGGGGGAATATTCACCTCGACTTCGTCTCGGCGAATATTCTCCGATAATCACCTGGCCTTCGGCAAATAATTGTTAATTATTAATATTTTATTTCAAAATTGGATCCCTTTAAACCTGAAAACACGACCAAAGGTGACACTATGTTGGTTTAGTCATGTTTCCACATTTCGTGTTCGTATTTCCACAGCCTTTCATAACTCTGAATACGATTTTCTTTGTATTCAACGTTATGACGTCACTCCGTTAAATATTGTTTCGAAACTCCACATTTGGTTGATGCGACATTAAATACTAACTTGATAAGGCAACAAAGTGCTTGTAACGCATCAGAAGCTCGAAAATTTCTAAATCACTTTTATATTTTGATGAAGAGCACACAGTTTAGGGGATTTATTTTAATTAATTTGAATCCATTTCAATATTTGCCGCGTTTTGCAGTAAACCAATCATTATGTTGTGGCCTGGTATTATCTTTTGTAGAAACTATACATGTGCCATATTTTAGCTGGATCCATTTTCGAAATTGTAGAAGTGTGTTCAAATATTCCTACCAAACTTTATGATAAACAAGGCTGGTAATACTTCGACGTACCGTTTGATTTACGAGTATCAGCTTTAAACTCGGCATGATGATTTGGTTAAAATAAAATGAAATAAATCAGTTATATCTCTCAACAGTAAATAGCTGAGTGCATGTTTTTATTCAACAAGTTATATTTTAAAGATTAAAACAAAATTTTGTGACAGAGTTCGAAGTAATGTTTCCCAATGAGGCAAAAATTCCCGAGCTGCATCCTCTAACTTGCCGCACTGGATCTTAAACACGAATTTCGGGAAATCACAAAAACATTTTTATATAACAATTATATATTATTGCTGCCGAGCGAAGCGAAGGAAGCCACATATTCTTGACAATATTTACAGTTTTTACTCGTGCCAGATCCCCACGCGACTTATGTATTTTAGCAAAAGCATTTGAGATTTGTTTGTCGTTCGTTCGATCATTCGGGTCACATTTTCTGTCGTCACAGAATTAGAATGTCGTTGTGTACAAATTTATATACGCAGGAAGTTTACGATGATATCCAGTAACTTCCGAAAGCTGCGTTCGGTGCACCGTAGCTTCATACGAGCTATGACATTTAGCTTTGACTTGACCATATGGCATATCAAAATTTTTCCATTGCACGAGGCTTATTTTACAATATTACTATTTGATATTGGAGGAAAATAATTAAATTTTTGAAGATATGTTGATAAAAATAGTTATTTGAACGTTTGAACACTTTTAATTATATATGTAAATGAACGTGTTAGTCTGTTTTTAAGGACTATATTTAAAGCACGCGTAGGAGTGTTTTATCAGATAAAATTTATCTGATAAAACACGACTACCAGCGCTTTAAATGGCTTATTCAGTGGCAAGCGAGCCATGACAACTGTTTATGATATAGAGAATAATACATGGGTGCGCGGAAATACCAGATTTATTTCGAGTGCAGTGTTGAACATGATATCTCACGAGTGAGCGCAATCTGGTATTTCCAAGCACCCACGTATTTTTCTGTTTATTACATAGAGGACAGTCTTTTCAAGCAAAATAAAATAAAATATCCATTTTCATAAACTTCGAATGCTTTGTTAATAAAATAACGTCGTCTTTCAACTTCACAAAACAAACTAAATAACAAACCTTTAAATGCATGCAAAAAATTCAAAAATGGGCTACATGACATTTCACTCATGCTATATGTTTATCAAACAAACTCGTATTCAAAAAGTTTAAAAATTCAACTGACTTAGTTGTCTTGGCTGCTGTCGCTGCTGTCTAAAGGGTACAGTCTACGGTATTTTCTCTTGGGACTATCGGTTATTAAAGTTTGACTATTTGACGCTGTAGAACTCGTAACGTGTATGTTAAAAGTACCACCAGTGATATAATTACCTTTGAACATCGATAAACCTTCTGTTTCATTGTGTTGCTTTGCTGATTTAAGAGGAAGAGTTAATGCCCTTGAATAGGAGTCATCCGTTTGTAACGGCGACGAAGTGTCCGTAGACAACAACGATATGAAATGGCTTCTTGCTGTTCTTAACGTAAACAACTATAATTGTTTATAGCTAGATTGAAAATTTTTGTGGCCTGTAACTTGAGCAATATGTGTTGGTGGCACATTATGATCCTGTAGCTTTTGTAGAAGTGTTTTTCTCGCACTATGGTTAAGTAATACGTTTATTAGCTCCAATCCCTGCTTTTACAGCACAATCTTTCATCAAGGAATTAAGTTTGTTTACACCCATAGGCTGAGCTTTAAACCACGGTTTGCATTATTCGTGTGATATTTCTTTGGAATGAAAATGGTTTACAGCTAAGAAAAATGGCGAGTTTGGTGATAAGGTTTGCTCCGGTCGTTTGCTTCGATATAGTTTGTAGGCAAAAACCGGATCCCGCTCGGGTCCAACGGTTTTGTTTTCAAACATTCTTGGTTTAACTAATTAACTGCTCTTCGATTTGCAGGATTATCACCTGGTCTAGTTTTCGTTTGCCTCTCTGTAGAGTATTCAAGGTATTCTTTGCCATTCAAGTCCGTTTTTAACTCAATATCACCCCATTTCAAGTCTCGTTGTTCCTTGCCTCCCCACAAGCCAAAGTGCAAACAATTATTGAACCAGAGAATGTTAATAAGAGCTTGTGGTGAATGAGTCCCCATAACTCTTGAAGTAAACAGTGCAGTTATCTCGTCATCAGTCAACGGGGAAGCTTCTTGCGGTTTGTTCCCTTTATCAAGTCTTTTTAGTTGCTTCTGTATTGACTTCAAAACATCTCGAGTATTTGTAAAACTTTGACCCGTAATGACTGACTCGCTGTATCTAAATTTTATAAGGTATCTGTCCACAGAAGCTATAAAGCCTCGCAAGGTTGTCGGTTCATATTTTTCGCCAGACCTTTTTCTGACTGATAAAAGGAATTTAGATAAGTATCGATCTAAATCTGCCGGAGGAATCTCTTCTATGGCACTGGTTTCTCCCTCGTTTGCAAGAAAAAGTTGAACGAGTGCAATGTCACTTGCCGTTTTTTTCTTCGTATTTGCATTTGCTTCTGTGTCCACAAAACATTGAATGTCACTTCACCGTGAGGTACAAAACAACTCGATGACATACTTCAAAAATTTTAAAATCAAAAATATTTAACACGAAAAGAACAGCCAATTTACACCAGATGAAAAACAAAACTCGAAAACTGCAGGCTTGCATACTAATGCTTTTTAACCGCCATAAACAAGAGAAGCAGCTCCGTGATTGGTGGAAAAGCGAAAATTTTCACATGTGAGATTATCATAAATGATCTCACATGTGAGATTATCAATTTTATCAGTGCTCCAAATCTCTATAAAGCACTATACTTTATATAATAAATGCTAATAAACCTGCATCTATTTGAATAATACAAATTATTAAAAACTTGCATAGCATGACATGTAGACCTTCATCTTTGTCTAGAACGAAGGAATCTTCAAGGAAGTAATTTCTTGAAGAGCAAGGAATTTGTGGAAGTCATACAATTAGAATATTTAGCTAGCCTTCGACTTTGTGCAAGGTGTTTTCGTATTCAAATTTCACTTTTCCTACCTCCTGAACACTTAAGTGTCTTAGGAGTGCTTTACGTGCTTATGTGATGGAAGGTGGGGTGAGGCAGCACTTTCCTTGCGATAGTAACGTCTAGTAATTTATTGTTTTGTTACAGATTTCTGTTACTAAATATATAACAACAAATGTATTTGGAAAGCATAGAATTAGAAAATAATATAGAGTGATCATTGTACGAAAGTAGTGAGCATTAGTTAATAACATAGATCAATTCGCGCACTAAATGGCGTCAAATTTTTGAGCGGAAATTAATATGTTACAAATCTCGAATCAAGTAAAGACTCGATCAGGCCTATATTCAGTAGCTTATGATAAGAAAACTTACCTGTTCTTGCCGCTTGATGATACATAGAAATGGTGTGAATTGAGAAGGATCCGCATTGCTGTAGGCTTCCTGAAAGAAAACATGTCAGCTTTTTTATAAAATATAGATAGTTTTATCTCTAGTCGTTTACGTCATATCCCAATAAGGAGCACCGGATTATAATTATAATTATTATACATTTAGTATGTATTCTCGTTCCTGATTGGTCAGAGAGCACCGAATAATTCTCAATTTTCTGTACTTATTACGTAATTTTAACTGTTGACGTGCTCAGCGTCCAATAATAATTTTTTTGGATCGAACTTGCATCCAAAAAAAAATATTGGACTCTGTCGTGCCCCCAAGCCCCGGCATGGCCAACAACTCAAACCTAAAAGCGCGCGAAAATAAAATAAACAAAATGGCTCGCAGTAGATTTCCTTCGTTGGATGAAAACGACTTGTCAAAATTATTAGCAGATAAAGACAGTGGCAGTACTCAGAAAGTCACAAAAGGATGCAAAACTAAAAGAAATATTTCTGCTTTATTTCTGTATTGTTGTACCATAATTATTTCAAACATTAATAAACTTTGTTTATAATCATTTTATACGTTTCTGATGTCTTTAGATGTATAATAAAGCAATTATTAGATTTGGCTTTCGCATGGCATCAAGAATTATTGAGACCTCGGTCAATGTTATCCGCCACAACTTCGCTTCGGCAGATAAAATGGTGGCTTCGGTCTGAATAATTCTTGATATCATGTTCAGCCTCATCCAATAATTGTTTATTAATATATTATATGATTCAATATTATGGCGGGGGACGAACTTAGATTGCCACAGCCATATTGCATGCAATAATTATTTATTTGGTGCAAAAGTTTCGTGTCTTTAAATTTTTGCCTGCATGCAATTTAGTTTAGTTACTAGACTGCCAATGCTTTCAATATTGTAAAACTATTATTCAATTATAATTACAGAGGTAGCTACGATTCAAAACCTTGCATGCAATGCCAAGTAGATTTTACCCCGAATTCTTGATCGTGATATTCTTTATTCCAGGCTTCATCTAAAATATTTTAAACGGATTTGATTAACTCTACAGTTTATTCATTATATTTATTTACTCAGAGGAATGAAATTGAGTTTGAAAAACTTCAACTTCCAAATAATCCGAATTTTGAGTCATCCTGCACGTCAATTCAATATTCTGTATACTAAATGATGTTGTGCACTACATTATACGCCTGAATTTGAAGTACTATTCTACTTAAACTCTAATATTTCGGCACATTATACACCTCCAGGCACATACTCCAGACATGAATGTTGATATGAATGTAGATTATTTAAGATACAAGTAATTTCTGCTGCGATAATATCAACCTTATAATTGCCCCCGCAGGGTTGAGCTGGCCCAAAATCAGAAGAAGCATTATGTGTATATAGAAGTCCCCGCGCGTATATGCACGTGCATATGTTTGTATAAGGTTTTGTATCGGAAAAAATCTCATTTTTTAAGTCTCAGGCCGCAAAGGATCTCTGGGTAATCACCGCAAGTAGTATCGGCAATTTTAACAGAATTTCAAAGGAATTTGGCAATATCCAATACGCAAACACTGATACACGTGCGAATAGCGAACATATAAAATTCCGCCATCTAACTGGTGTTTGTCAGTTCGCTCAGTTGGCTTAAAAGTTACGAAGGTTGGAAGAAGACACAGATTGCAGAGATTCATTACGGAACATATAGGTTCAGCCTGATATAAAAGCGTTCGCCAAGGTTCGTAAATACGTGTTTATTATAGCTAGTACTATTAACATATACGCATACGTCATTACACATGCATGTACTTTTGTTGGTTCTTATTCACAAGGTTTCTGTGTTCGTTGTCGGGAAAAACAGTAGTATCAACTATTACTAGTGAATAGGACAACAAATGCATATTAATGCTGTATATTAACATATTACCTACAACCTCCAAATGTGCAAACGGCAAACAATTATCATAATCGTCAATCTAGAAAACGATCAGCAGTGTTAATTGAACTTGAATCAGCGTGTACTGCATTATTATTTTGAGATGTCGAAAATGTTGTTTTTGTTGAAGAAGGAAAATGACCCGCTATAAATAATTAAGTATAATATAATTACCGTATAATTTACAAAACTTACTTTAACGCCTGTATTCTAAAAGCTCACTATACGCTTAGCCTAGTTTCCATTTGGTCGTTAGTTGTCGCTGGCACGACAAGTGGCTGATGTAATAAAGTGTCAACAAAACTTTTTAAACCTCTGCAATCATCAAGACTGATTTCCCAGCGGGCAAAATGACGTTTATCCAACGTTGAATCAACGTTGGAAATAACCTTCCAGACGTTGGATAGACGTTGAAAAAGGGTTGACTATGCAAATTGGATCGACGTTATTGTTTCGACGTTGAAACAACGTTGAAATTAGGTTGCCAACTCGTCAACCATAATTCAACGTGGAATCCACGTTAAAACAACGTTGAGATTGGTTCACAAATCGACGTCGTACATTTAACCATGAATGAACGTTAATTCAACGTCTGTTGGCTGCTGTTGAACCAATGTTTGCAAAACAACGTCAGAGCAACGTAGATATTAGGTTGTCGACGTCGCAACCTTTTTTCTACCAAATTTCAACGTTGAAACAACGTCGTGTGCCCGGTGGGTTGCATATAACACACAAAAAGACTATTATTATATTAGACTATTTCACATCTACCGCTTGTCGTGCCAGCGACAACTAACCACCAAATGGAAACTAGGCTTTACACTCAAAGAGTGGAGGTTCCATATGATCTTCTTTCGAGTATCAATGCTGTTTTCGAATAGCTAGACGGTTAGTGTCATACCTTACTATGTGACTACTCACCCGCCAGCTATTCAAAAACAACATTGACACTCAAGCGAAGCTCAAATGAACTTCCACTCATTGAGTGTGAGCGTGAGTGAGCTTTTAGAATACATGCAGGCGGTATTCTCTCTTACTTTTTTCTCTTCAAGATATAAGAAATTGTCAAATTGCAAATAAAAAATTTGGATAATCATTAATTTCCCAAATCTCGGAATGGTATAGAAAGAAGCACATGTAAGTTACAAAAAGAAAACTAAAATCCAATAATTTGCTCCATATATCCATGCCTAATTTACTTTAGTCTTTATGAACTTTAAATTTCGAATATTGTTTTCAAGTGCAATTTAGACTAAAACGATTCTACGATTCTCTGCTCAATAACAGCAATCTTGACTTGGTTACGTAAATGTAGTATAGATAAATATATTAACGCTTTTACCCCAGGATTGTAATTCTCGGGATTGTGATCTTCTTTTTGCCGGATCAGATCCGGAGGAGGACGACATAGTTCTTTTGAAGCCTTCGCATCATCTAGAAAAGAATAAGAAATTTGAAACAGATAAAGATCTACTCAGCTGCAAATTAATCCTCTGTAGTGCACATTACCATATCTTTTCTGTGGCTTTTAATTATGTGGGCATTTCAAAGTAAAAATGTTAATATCGCCAATTTCGTGGATATATCCATGCAAGTTGAAATGTTTACGGAGATATGCAATATTTCAAAAAAACAAACTTAATTAAATAGCACTGATAACGCCCTGATGAGTTTGACTAACTAATCAAGATAAGACCAGTTAAACTCGATCAGCCAAAAGCTAGCATTAAACACACCCACGCGGATAGAAAATAAATATGATGTTATATACATGCATTGGAAGTGAAACTGTTTTCATATCACAGCGCGAAATATCGGGTTGCAGTGGTGAAGTAATGATATTGATTAAAAAGTTAATTGACAAGAACAAAGTAATGAAAAAGACCAAACAGCTGACTGGACATGTTTCGAAAAACCTAATATTCTCGGCTTAAAATGAATAATATTTGTTTGATCAAATATTATTTGTGTGATTTTTCGTAGTTTTATTCTCGTACGCGTTCTTATTATTTGTTTGATCTTTGTTAAGTTTGTAGTTTTATTCCCGTACGCGTTCTTCTAGTCTGTATATGATCTTCTGTATATTGGAACCAATAATTAATTCAATTAATTAATTAAAATTATGTAACTATATCTGTTACCCATATGGAAAATTGACCCCAAATGCGACGCCCAACATGGACAATGACTATAGTACGTACTTAGTTGCTTTCGAAGGAGTTCTTTGAGTTCACGAGGGGAAGCTCTGGATGAATAATCCCTTTGAAGACACTTTTCCGATATGACTGAAAATATGTTTTCAGGAATGCAAGATTCTTTTTTCAATGTTCCTCCTCGAATGACCTTAAAGAAACAACTCAAAATAACATGGTGACATATCAAACGATCAAACACGTCCATGACAATCAAGGCCGTCGCAAATAGATTTAAGAAGCGGGGTGTGACATTGAATTTGCCGACAAAAGTTCAAATTTTGCGGAAACCATTGCAATCACTAATTAATATTTCTTTTCTCAAAATTGCTGGGAAAGGAATGGGAGTGGTGAAGGGGCAGCATGAATATTTTAATATTTTTGTATATTTAAATACAGTTGTTAGTTTTCATGATAAAATAAAATAAAATAAAATAAAATAAAATAGAATAGAATAGAATAGAATAGAATAGAATAAAATAAAATAAAATAAAATAAAGAAAAATAAAATAAAATAAAATAAAATAAAATAAACGTTAGAGAAGCATTGTACAGCAAGTCTATTGTCGTTATTAATAATGCAACCTGCTTTAATCAGTGTTGAGGCTAGCGCAACACTTCCGGTCAGTGATCGAAGTTCAGCGAGTTTCCGGTGAACATCCGGGGCTTTTGACGAACATGAAACCTTTTGTTGTTTTGTTTCGAAGGATTATCAAGGGTGGGTTGACTACAAAATTTTTGTAGTTCGCTATAACTACAGCTACTTCAAAAATATGTAGTCAGCTACAACTACTGCTATTTTTGAACAATGGTAGTTCGCTACTGACTACAGCTACTGCTTAAAAAATGTAGCGAACTATTTCGCTATTTCGTTACTCTATATTTTTTAGTTTTACGGTATTTGGAGCATCCACTAGCTCAGGCTGTAATATAACCTATAACAAATCGACTTACGAGTAGCAACAGTAAACAAAAAGGGTCAAAGCAACATTTTTATAAGCACTACAGTGTTCAGGAGTGCCACTTTTCATTGCGCTAAAATAACCTTTACTGTATAAAATAATCTTTTAAGCAAACCGTGTCTTATCATCATTCTATTCTATGAACGGTTGCTAACAATTTTAAAAAGTAGCGAATAGCGATTCGCTGTTTGATAAGTAGTCAACTATTTGGCTACTTTTAGGCAAAATGTAGTTCGCTACAACTACAACTACAACTACTGTTTTAAAAAAGTAGTCAAAAACTACTGGCTACTTGAAAATTGTAGTTCGCTACAGTAGCGAACTACAACTACTTCGCTACTACCCACTCTTGAGGATTATATTTGGACTTTAATAGTAAACAACTAGCTTTAATACGGGATTATCGACATTCGGTAAGACATTTAAAGTTTAATTATGTATTTCTTTCCTTTATGTGAACAATTGTTATGTAAGTTATGTAACAATTGTTATATATTTAGTGCATTTACGTATTTTCATATTTTGTTACAATAAAACAAGTCAGACAGAAACGTGAATTGTCACATTCAGGTCGATACAAAATAACAAGCAAAGAAACCGTATAGGGGCGAAGCACCTATACATTCAGATTACTTCGAGTAAGAAAATAAAGGGGGAGAGCAAGTGCACAAAAAATGGAAACTACTGGTGAAGCGAGACACTTCTACTTTTTTACTTGGTTTAATTAAGGGGTATACTTACAAAAATTCTTGCTTCAGGAGAAGTGAGAGGTCCGCGTTTGAAATCTCCATGATTCGGGAAAGACTCGGGATGGTTGAAAGGAACACATCCTAAAGTTAGTAACTCATAAAGGAACACCCCAAAACTCCACGAGACAGTTTTCGGTAGAATACATTCGAAAAGAAGAGCTTGCGGATCCATCCATTTAAAATGGTACTTTTCTATAGCTTTTTTGACACCCATCTTGTCTATCTGTTCCCATGTACGACAGAACTGAAACCCTGTTAATTTAACGGTTCCATTGTCATGAAGAAGCACATTTCTTGCCTGCATTGCTAGATGAACAATTCCTTCATTCTCTAAAAATTCCAAAGCGTCTGCAATCTCTACTGCATACGACAACAGTTCCCTTAACTTAGGAATACTAGTAGATACTCGATGATTCCTTAAGGATGTTAGTAAACTTCCTTTTGAGACGGGCTCGAACATTAGACATTGCGCATGTTCGTCATAAGCTATAAGGGTAACAACATTAGGATGTTTTAGGCGGCTTAAAGATTCGCGTTCGTAATCAAAATGCTTTAGGTGTGGATCTGCGTCTTTCGAGAGAAATTCTTTCCGCGTCTGTTTGTAGCATTTTACAATAACCTCAGAATCGTTCGAACGTGCGGAAAAAATCCATGCATTGGTGCCGTTATGAAGTGTCTCAGGAATTCCACTAAGTAGTAAATCCTTGCAAAATTTAATCCTCTCTTTGCACATTTCCTCCGATGATGTGTCGAGTTTCTTAAATATTCCCTTTAACAGGACGTTTCGAATATCCACGTTGTCAATAAATACTAGAGCCCGTGCGCGTTGTTGAAATATGCCAATGCACTGGTGAAGTTTCTTCTTTTGAAGAACGTCGAATAATTTAGATAATCCAGCAATCGACTCATCGCGCATTTTGGAAGGATCTGTATCAAACAAATAATATATAAGAACTCTTTATTAACTATTATGCAGAAACACAATCATCTCTTGTCATCACAATAAACTCTTGCCATGAATCAGAGCAACCAAACGAAAAACAGCCATTTTGCTCGCAATGAAGAAAAGTATCACAGGACCATTACGAATCTTCAGTAATGCAATGTTACTATGTTTTTAGAGAAAATGGCGTAACTGATTTTTAATCATTTATCCCATAGTTATTTTTTTTTTCCTTCTAAAAAAATTGTGGGTCACTGTGTTTCTTTCCAAACTGCTTAACTTTATCTTAATTTAACAAAACCTAAACTCTTTAACGACGTCATATATTGTTGCCAAGGCAAACCTAGTGTATTCGCATATAGGCCTACTTGAACAAGACATACCGTCCATCTGTAAAAGGTTCGTCAGAATATACCAAATGGTTAATAGATATTGACAGCTGGAACTCTCCCCCCCACCCCCAATACAGTTCAAGAGGACCCAGAAAAGCCAATCTTGAAATGTGAGATTAATTAACCAGTTAACATGAAATTTGTAGTGAAATAACCTGGTGAAAACGTGTCCACGCAAATTGCCAATTGGCTCTAGCCTTCAATTCTGAGGATAAGGCCACGCAGAATGACCGCAACATGATTGTTATCAGGCAGCCTATTATAGTGGGCGGTGAAACGGCTAAAGGCTGAAACGCTGATCAATGTCGGGTGCAGGAGGTTGCTAACGACGTTGCCTAGATTACCATAGCAACGTTTTAATTTTATATTTGGTGAGGAAGGTAAATACAACTGAGTTGGTTGTTTTTTGGTGGAAGAAATGGCGGCCAAGGATAGACTTCCGATGTCTTAATATAAATTAGTAGATTCTGCTACTATATCTACTCAAGTACCTATTTTTTCCAATTCTCTGGATCTTTGATGGAAATGCTTTGCTGGGAATGCTTTTCCCATACTTATAAAGAAATGCTCAACTCCGTTGGTTTTGAATTATGGAGATACAAACATAGAATTATATAATCTTATGTATAAACTGAATTGCAAGCGTGGGCTTGCAAAACTAGATTCTCGAATGCTTTAAAATTTTTCCTCGACCAAAGTTAAAAATCCCATGCTTAAAAACTGCGAAAATATGACAATTTGCATATGAATTTGGAAACGATAGGGGATTGTTTCTCCTAACATCAGTATTAACTATAATTTAAAAACCCAACCTGAAATTTCATTAACAATTTGAGAAAGACTGTCAACAACAGTGATGGTAAATTTCCATCGACAACTCGGATCCATTTTCTTCAATAACTTTGTCAAATATTCAATGACTTGCAAGAAAGCGAGAAGAAGTTCTTCTTTTTTCAGGACCAAGACCTTAAATTAAAAAAATACATAATTCAAGTATATGTAGCATATATAGACATGCAATCCCTATGTTGATAAAAACATGATTAGAATTTCATTTTTCGAGGAATATCTGTATAGCAAATGCAGTTAACGCACTTGTTTTACGTATAAAATTGTTGAATCTATAGAGATAAGAAATGTTCGAACGATCAGTTGAGCCGAGTAAGTTGTGCAATTGCATGTCTCCCCTGGGGAGGGGGGGGGGATTTTTGAAAAGGGACCTTTCTGTGAGATAATATATTAGTGGGGATAGCAATGGCTGAAAGCCACGTATGTGGCCGACATACCACGCATGAATGGGGGTGTAAAAGTTTTGAAATTTGAAGCAGGGACATGCCATTTCCTGCATTCTGAGCATCCAAATTTACTCCAAAATTTATGCTAACTATGCTTGTATTTGAAATAAAAGGGGGGTAAAAACGCACAAAAAGTTTAAAAAAAATTAACCACAATTTATGATTACTTATTCGAGGAGGATAGCGATGGTCACGTGTGTGAGGGCATACTCCCCCAGAAAATGTTTGAAGTTTGAATCCCGTAAATGCCATTTCCTGCATTCTGAGCATCCAAATTTGCTCTAAAATTAATGCTAACTATACTTGTATTTGAAATAAAGAATGAAAAAATGCATAAAAAAGTTAAAAAAATTAATCGTAATTTATCATTACTTATTAGAGAGGGATAACAATGGCTGAAGGCCATGTGTGTGGGAGCATACTCCCCAGAAAATGTTTCAAATTTGGAACCCTGAAATGCCATTTCCTTCCTGCATTCTGAGCATCCAAAAAATAAAATAATTATTAACAATAATTTATCGTTACTTAGTGGTAGAAAAACGTAACAATTTAAATCGATTTTGTTAAACAAGGACAAAGGATAAAGCCTAAAACTTACTTTCCGTTTATCTATTTGTTATTCTTCGCTGGTTTGTTTGTATAAATTTAGGAAAAAGCCTTTTCCTTTTCCTGGGGGAACAAAAGGTGATTTCGTTTGGGAGCACAAGCGGGGACTGGGGGGGAGGCATTTGCCTCCCCCAGTTTGCATTTTAAAAAAGGCACTTTCCAGAAATGTCCGAACTTTCGGTTGACGTTTCAACTTAGCGAATTATAATCTACTAAGTTTGAGAACGGCTAATCAGAATCAAATACCCAAATCTGGGTATCGCAGCTAGGGATCAACAAGCATTGCCACAAATGTTCACACACTGTAATGCAGCATAATACAGTCTGCACACAGGCTACAAGCATCACACATTTTTAGGAATTTGAGTAGCCTATCTCAATCGATCGGACTAAGTGTAAAAGGTTTAATCGAGTTTAAATTTTATTCATATTATACAGAACCAGTCAGAAACAGTGTTGCAATAATAATCCTACTACAATGAATTCTTTTAAGCAAAATAGCTAAAATTAGCCCTCACATTATCATCACCTCAGTATATATAAATGAACTTGCGGGTCGACTAATGCCAGAGGGCCTATACAGTAGTTACATTTTTTTACATCTGCTCATACATGGTTATAGTAGGTTTGATAAATGTATAAAATTTGTACTCCAAATTTTTACGATACAAAACCCTTATGCATGATATTACCTGAATTTTCAACCAAGTTATAACCAGGTAGTGTTGAGTCCAGCTTTTGCAATCCAAGTACTTTTCCATATATTTTCCCACCATTTTGCTGCTTGTGTCTTTGTTGATTTCCTCAATTAGTTTTGTTGCGTTTTTTAGTTTTTCTTCTTTCAACATTTTTTCAAAAGTAGAAAGCATTCTTGCCACCGTGTCTATATCTCGACGGACGCGGGACATGGGCAAAAAGTTTGGAGGTTGCACAATCCTTTTTAAACGAGATGACAGACACTGAAAGGTATCCTTACTACATAGCTGTGGCTGTAATCCATGTTGCAGCATTACATTAAGCATCGATGTATAAATACCAATTCCATTTATAACGTTCAATGTGTCGTCTTGAAGAAGAAAACTTCGCAGTTTAGACTCTGCTGGACATATTGTGCAATTTGCAGGACATAGCGCGCGGAAGTTAACACTGAGATAATTCAGTTCAGCGTCGATATTATCTGATAGTCTCATTCGTTCTAATTCCTTTGTTGTTTTGCAAAACTCATCAACCTTTTCCGCCAGTGTCAGAGTAGATTTTCCAGTTATTGAAGCCTGTGATGTCCTTGAGACGTGTCTTTTATTACATTCATAAGATTCAGCAACTGTGGACAAAATGGTAATGTTAGCATGTTAACACGTGCAAATGTTCATTCAAGTAATATTAAAGATCCGACTATGAGGACAAGACTACATTTCAAGCTCACGCACAATTTGATCAAGTTCGAAGCGACAGCGAAGGTTGCGTTCAAACGCGAGGGCTTGAAATCACTACTTTAATGAAGAGAATTAATTTTGACCCAGCCGAAAAATTAATTTTATCACGTAGTATTGCCACAAACCAAAATTTATATATTATTATTTGCCATGCAGCAGTACAAACATTTTTTAGAAAATGGACTGTGCAGTAATTTCCATTGTTATACAAATACATAAGATTGCTGTATTTCTAGTTTAGGAACGTTTATATACTATACTGTACCGTCGTATTAAGACAACGACACGGTGATGGTTTCTTGTATTTTGCTCATGCATGAATTGTAAATGAGTTTGACTTGACGGTGCAAGATAAATATGTCATGTACTGATATTGAAAATAATTTGTTTTTGTGATATACTGTACATTGCCTTAATGCAACTTATTATTCCTCCATGCAATTAAAACCACAAAATTGAGTGTTGAGAATCGATAATTAATACGTACTGTACTACTGTAGCTTTAATTTCATTTGAAGCATCATGCATTATATTTGGAGTGGCTAAATTGGTGAAATTAATAATTTACATGTTCAATTTTTTTATATACTGGTGTATCGCGACTCAAGAACAACATGATTATACAGCATAGTACAATTTGAAAACTTTTCGCTCAATTATGTTCGATCAAAAGCTTTAAATTCCTACAGTAGTACGTATTTCGCACAAAAATATTAGTATGTGGTATCAATTTTTAATATCTCACATTCAAGTTCTTTTTCAACCGTTCAGAAAATTTGTTTACTTACTATAATTTATTTTTTTCTTGATTTTATGTGGCGTTATCTTTGGCGTGATTTTTGAAAGGACAAAAATTCTCATGCACATAAATATAAGCCTTACAGAATTCAGAAAATAATTGCCAAACCAATACTCATTTACCAACCGTACGAGGCAAACAGAAGGATTACGTACTCACGATTAAAAATGTAAGAATAACACCAGTCCTGTTTTCCAGGAATTAATGCACAATAATACAAGTTGACAACCTAAGCGTTACCTTCTGTTCGTTGTAGATGAGTTGCAATGTGAGGGACTAAATAGGATAAAAACAAAGTATTTTAAATATTAATAAAATAATTTAATTCAGAAAATAATTGCCAAACCTTCTCATGCACATAAATATAAGCCTTACAGAATTCAGAAAATAATTGCAAAACCAATACTCATTTACCAACCGTAGGAGGCAAACAGAACGATTACGTACTCACGATTAAAAATATAAGAATAACACCAGTCCTGTTTTCCAGGAATTAATGCACAATAATACAAGTTGACAACCTAAGCGTTACCTTCTGTTCGTTGTAGATGAGTTGCAATGTGAGGGACTAAATAGGATAAAAACAAAGTATTTTAAATATTAATAAAATAATTTAATTCAGAAAATAATTGCCAAACCTTCTCATGCACATAAATATAAGCCTTACAGAATTCAGAAAATAATTGCAAAACCAATACTCATTTACCAACCGTAGGAGGCAAACAGAACGATTACGTACTCACGATTAAAAATATAAGAATAACACCAGTCCTATTTTCCAGGAATTAATGCACAATAATACAAGTTGACAACCTAAGCGTTACCTTCTGTTCGTTGTAGATGAGTTGCAATGTGAGGAACTAAATAAGATAAAAACAAAGTATTTTAAATATTAATTAAATAATTTAATTCAGAAAATAATTGCCAAACCTTCTCATGCACATAAATATAAGCCTTACAGAATTCAGAAAATAATTGCCCAACCAATACTCATTTACAAACCGTACGAGGCAAACAGAAGGATTACGTAATCACGATTAAAAATATAAGAATAACACCAATCCTGTTTTTCAGGCATTAATGCAAAATAATACAAGTTGACAACATACGCGTTACCTTCTGTTGGTGGTAGATAAGTTGCAATGTGAGGGGCTAAATAGGATAAAAACAAAGTATTTTTAAACATATTTCCCACGTGCACCCCATATGAAGGGGAGGAGGGACGAGGGGGAGGCACTCGGCCAATTGTCCGAAATAGAATATAAAGTGAAATATGTATAAGTGATACTGTCAAATAGCCTCGAAGAATAATTGTTTTAAAACGATCAAGAATACGGGATGTAATCCAGGGGCCGGTTGTATAGAACTCTTAACTACTTCTTAGCTGCTACCTATTTTGTGGTTAAATCGTAGGACGATTCTGGTTGGTTAGCTTTTCCATTAGCTATTACCTGTAAATACTGTACAACCGGACCCAGCTGATTTTCTTGCAAGTTTATCGAGAGTACAATTGAAATGGTAGTCAGTTTTTTCAAAGGCACCTGACCTCAAAGATTGATGACAAAATAATTTCCCTTCGAAGCCCAAAGATATAATTTGCCCATACAGACGTAAAATTTCTTTAGATTTACCTTCCCCGCCCGCCCAGCCCTCCCCCCCCCCAAAAAAAATTAAAAGGCAGCACTATTTATCAATCCTATGACACAGACCCCGCGATCATGCGGGACGCACGTTCTTTAAAAAGGGATAAATTTACCTTGTGTTGTTGCTCGGAAAATTCCATCTTTAACGTCAAATGTAGAAAAAAAAGACAATTCAGATGTCAAATTCTGTCTTATAGAGCAGATGCGGTACTTGTTATGGAGGGACAGGTTTGTTATATACATTTAAAATATCATTAATAATTCGTAAACCTTGTGGCAAATCATGTCAGCCATAATATGTCACGTGGAATGACTTTATATCTGATAAAACATGTGGCATTATACATATAATTGTTCATCCTAATTAGTATGATTATATAATGGTTCATCCTAATTAGTATTCTTTTGTAGTCGTATTTTAAGCTATTCAAAACACTCGTTGTCGTGTTTTATCAGACATAAAACGCTCGCCTGCGCCTCGCGTTTTTACATCTGATAAAACACTCCTACTCGTGTTTTAAATATTAAATATAGATAGCTGTACAAAATGCTTTTCTTCGCGTTTAATTGGGTTGAAACTGAGAATCACAAGGAGAACTCCGATTATTTGAAGAACGACACGTATTCTAGAAGTATGAGTAAAACATTTGTATATGCAAAAAGACATATTTGTTTTGATTATCTTCCCAGATCGTGCTAAAATTAACTGGTATTATATAGCCATCGGGAGTCTCGTATTTTTATGCAAATCAAGATATTTCTCATCCTTTGCAATATTATCATCCCCGATCTAACGGAGGGAAGCGCCGTAAGCCTGGGCAGAGGGTACTAATTCCACTCGGCTATTTTCACCCAGGGAAAGGAAAGCATAAGTATAAAGTTCATCAATAATCGTGGTAATGATTCATGGGTGTCATGGCAGATCTCAAAAGTAGGGCTATTTGCCAGGAATTGGCAAGATTTCAAATTTCAAAAACAAATATTTGGAAAATCCTTTCATACAATGAGATTTGAAGCAATTTTGTTTGCCGAAATGAGAAGAATTATTTTACTATGGGAAATGGTGATATATAGGGCAAGTTTGCCTTGAATGTTTAATTATTGTTTATGAATATTGTTGCTTAAATTTTTTGCTTAATAATACTTGCGCTACTTTCCTTTTGAATTAACTTAAGCTATACGTTTGTAAAGGAGAGCAAATTAGATCAAATTAATTTAATTTGATCACCGAATAGTAAACCCTGGAGACGAGGTTGGACCAAATGTTCATTCAACATTTTGATCAAGTATAAAAAAAAACAGTTTATCGCTATCGGCAAAAGCAGTTCAGTTCAAAGAACATTTCAAAACATTTTGCGAAGCATTTCAGATAAAATTTTACATTGATTAAATCAATGCTCACAAAATATAGAATAACATACCCACAGTGTATAGCCTATTTCAGAAATTCAATTTTGTATAGTAAAAAGTATAATCTTTCAACTAAAAATATCGTGTTGTTATGGCAATAGCTCTGTCACCTGAACATCCGTTCAGTGTTGGCCAATTGCTAATACTTCATGTTAAATAAATGTTTGGAAAATATTGGCGAGCAGTTGTTGCATGCATGTATATCTAGTCGCGCAGTTTATTGTATTATTTCCTAAATTGGATCAATTCGAGAAAGCCGTTTAATTAAAGTCGCTCGTTCCAGAGGGCCTTCAGTTTTTATAAAGGACGTGCGCCGTGCGCATTTCAATGGTGTGAGCTCTAAATTACTGTATGTGAACCGCTGATTACAGCATAAATGCTATGTAGATTTTCATTGGAATTCACTTTTAGCAGAAGTAGCTATAGTTCTTCTTATGATTAATATGTACTATAGTTTAAGACCTCTCTCCTCCGCAGAGGCTTCATACGATTTGTATTGAGATACATTTCACTACACTTTACATGGCGGATCTTGGAACACGAGCGGAGCCGCTGAGCGAAGGGGCGCAGCATCGCAAATATATAACGTTATATAGAGGTTTTGTTTACCTTCACTGCTTAGTCCACTGATCTGGTCAAAATCACCTAAACGGTATAAAAGGGAAAACTATTTTTAAAATCAAATATGGTATAAGATATTTGTGTGACAGGAACAAAAAAGAGGGAGTTGTTTGGGTTTCTGTTCTACCTGATACTCGGGTTTTCAATTCCGCTGGCATCTTATTAATCGTGGCGTCTTGATTACAATTCGACTGGACTTTGTAATCATTTATTTAAACCAGAGTAGCGAGCGAAACATGATTGATATAACTGGTTGCAGTGAACGAACAAACTTTAAATTATTATCAATGTTGCATAGCGATACAAATGCAATAATAGTTTTGAGGAGTCGCTTTCGAAACCCATCAGACTAGAAAAATTCTCTTTTTTCTTTTCTTGGTCTTGATCACACTTCTCTTTGTCTCTTAGCAATGCCGCAGACCATTCTGGCTTTTCCCCCATGTATAAATCCATTAGCTATATGGTTTGAGACCAACAAGAAGACGCTCACTTTTGATTATTAAAATAAACCATGATTTTAGAAAGCCAATTAACAAGTACAAAAGTAAATAGACATGCAACAAGGACAACTAAAGTAAAAAAAAAATTGTTTCCGAAGTTGCTGTGATCAGCTAATCAAAACTTGGGAGAACATGGTCTGAACACACACTTTTTGCAACTGAACCAACCAATACTGAGCGACATTTTTATGGTCGTTGACATTCGACATTCTTCGTTTTCTACCAACTTGTTTTCAGGGGGTGTTAGCCGCTCCCCCCCCCCCACACCCTCACCCTTATGACGGCTCTGGTAAACACGATACTAAACAGGCTTCATACAATGCAATTTTATCTGCCGGTTAACTATGTATCAGCCGAATAGGGCTAAACACAATTTGATAGCGGCTAAACACAATTTAGTTACACGCTTGCCGTACAACCGGCATCAGTTCCATACCTATCATCTTCGTCACATTTGTAACAGAACTCTCATACTGATTGTCATCAGTTGCACCTGAAAATAAAAATATGCTGTACGAAAAATAAAAATAACTCCAAGATGATAACTCCAACATTTTCACCAAAGCAGCGCTGTTTCGGGGGGTGAACCCAGGGCGAGGATACCATGAATTCCGCTCTGCTACTCACACCCGGGAAAGGAAAGCATTAATGAATCCTAAAGTTCATGAATATAATCGCGCGTGCATGCCCTTGCTTCAAATGCATGCCTGAACCTCCTCGGTGATCCAAAAATTGTGGCCCTTTAGCAGGAGTGCATGGGATAAGCAAGTTATAACGTTTCAAAAATGTGTTTGGAAAGTTGCTTTTTTATACATCGAGCATTCAAGCAATTTTGCTCTGAAGAAATGTGCTTAGCTTAAATATTTCTACACGGCCTTATGAAAAGCAACCTTTTTAATTATTTGAAACCTCATCAGAAAACTCTATATATTTTTAGTAGAAATAGCTTGATAAGCTACCGTGTATAAAGAATTTTAAAATTTTTAAATAAATAAATAAAAATCTATTTACGATCGTAAATTGTGAAATATAAGGCAAGTTCACTTTGAATGTTTATAATGTTTACGAATTTTGTTACGTTTATTTATAAATGATTAACGCAACAAGTCTAATGTTCTGTTGTAAGTTTCCTAGCCTATATTACCTTGTAAGGGAAAGCAAATAAGTCTCATGACCGAAATAAAATTATTCAGTAATTTAAACTTAAATAAGTAAATTTGATAGTTGAACACTGATCTGATTGATATAAGATGACTTTTTTATTCGGCCTGCCAAAGATTAGCTTATACTAAAAGCCTATTGAATATCGATTTAACACTATTAATTTGCTTTTTCGTGGATCATGAATCGCGGTACACCTAGCTCGAGTACGCACATGTTTACCAATAAAGACCTAATAATCAGAAATGGTAAAACAAAAGGATTAAAAAGCTAGGTATACCGCGGTTCTCCACCATGGTTTGTCCAGATATATATAATGGTGTGGAAATCCAGCGAACTTTACCGCTACAAAATGAAAGGCGTTTGTTTGTTGTTGAACTGCACCTCACCGTGCACGAATCCTTTATCTCACGTTTCATCTCAGCTATCCTTATTGGACGATTCCTTCATTATTGAAAAATGCTACGAGCCCAATCACCGTGGCCGTGCACGAATTAACATAAACTCAAACAAAAACATAATGCAATGACTTCTGTTTAGTTTCCTGGCCATCATTCCTTGGTAGACTACGACTCCACGAAGTTGCTCTTCCAAAAGGGTGGCTACGGAATTGTTCCTCTTTATACTTGTTTAATTTGAAACTGCAAATCTGGCGCAATGTTTCAAGCTGCGCTAAGATGAACATGGTGCAATACACCACAATGACCTACAAGATTTAAATATTTCGTTTCTGCCCATCGCAGTTGGAATGCACACATCAGCACGCGCCTTGTTGCAATACAGGGTGACCCAAAAAAAAGTGACACTATAGAAATTATCCTATTGTTGTTAAGCACAGGATATCATGCGCCTGGTAATTAAAAATTCAATTCAATTGTGTTTACGCACTCTTGTGTTCAGCATAGTACTCCGGCATTCAAATTATAACAATAGGATAATTTCTATAATGTCACTTTTTTGGGGGACACCCTGTACAATAATTGGCCTTTCACATCTTGGAAAATTAAGGCACTGAGTTTTTTTTCCAATGGATCGCAAACAAACACTAAATATATTCACAATGTCAAAATCTTACCTAATCTTTTCTTCTTGATGACGCCGATCGGGGGTACGAATTAAAGGCTTCCCCAATTAAACAAATCTGGTAAGCAATACTACTGTATACAAGGTGTATAAAAAAAGGAGGAGACCTTTAGAAATCAAGCATATTGTTAAAATTTGAATGCCTTTTCAATTGCACATATGCTGAACCGTGGTGCGTGAAATATTGATGGAATGCATATATTAGAAAAAGGAGACCTTTAGAAATCAACCATTGTTATAATTGGAATCATGGAGCACTTTGCTAAGCCCACGAGTGTGTAACATGTGATCTACGTACAGTATGCATGGAAGATTGTCCCATGAGCAGACAGTCTTTTGTTTAAACGTTATTTCAGTTTCTATGGAGGTCTCCTTTTTCTAATATATGCACCCATCAATATTTCACGCACTACGGTTCAGCATATATGCAATTGAAAAGGCATTCAAATTTTAACAATATGCTTGATTTCTAAAGGTCTCCTTTCTTTATACACCCTGTAGTGCAGTACTTGTACACTAATTACCTGTTATCGCCCGTCGATCGTCATAAACGCCGGTACTAGGATCCGAAATTGCTAAATTAAGAAATATATTCAAAATTATACCTGAAATTTATGTCAAATTATATAATATATTTTACGCCATAATTTACACATGTGCATGCTCTTTTTAAGATTGTCGATATTATTTGGATTTTCCCTAAAGTCCCCCAAAAGTTACGTACTGTCTATATCTTTTCTGCATAATAATTATGCATTATAAAGTGGTTAGGATTTCCGCCATCGTAAATATTTGGAAATGACAGGATTGGATACTAAACGGATTGGAAAAATTGAAGGGATAAGGTAAAATGAGCAAGAGAAAGCCTTAGACATCCTTCTGAATTGAAAGCGTTAATACTGTTGCTTTAAGCAGTACGTTTGCAAATGTGAGGAAAAGAATCTTCCACGATGTCATCACACTTTTCATGCATATTCGGAACGCGGAATTCTGGGGCAGAAACCTGGAAAACTGATGCGCAATCGAGATTTTCTCGGTAATGTTAATTCATTGCTCCTATTTTTTAAATCCGGTGTTGGGCATCAATGTTGTGTTTAATCAAAGACGAAATGATATCAAAATTTGAGCTGAAATTGCAAATCTATAATAATAAAGTTTAGTGTAAATTTTGCATTCCTCGCTTTCGCGCGTTCCGATTGAGCGGCAAATCTGACGCAATATTATTGGAGACGCAGGGAGCAAGCCTGAAGCAAGAGAGCAAGTCCGCAGTGCTAATTCGTATTGAGCTCTGAAAGTAAGATTTTACTTCCGTTGTTCCGACCAGAATGCACTGCTGTTGACCGACCAGAATGCATCGCTGTTAACCGAGGAGAATGCTCAGGGACGCCGGAGCGAGGGTAGGGCACAGGGGGGCAATGTTGACGTATGGGCAATTACTAATTAATATTGTGTTTCCGAAAATTTTTTCCGTAACCTTAATTCACCAAAACAGGGGCAGAAAAATTTCGAAAGTTAACTGATCACCCACTTTTTAAAAAATACTCCAGAAAATTTCGCGTATATTTCAATATTACGTCTATTTCACCCGTAATTCATACTTTTTAATCGTTGTACACTTGTACCGGGTTAGAATTTTTATCTAAGGGCACTTTCGCCCCCACCTGCCCCCCTTACTAAAGAGCAAGGGGGGCGATGCCCCTCTGCGCCCCCTCCCCCCTTCCCGGCTTCCCTGAGAATGCTTTGCATGCATGATGCTATAAATACGGGGAATCTCATTGGTCAGTTTATATAATCCGGTAACGATGCAGTTGTTTTTGTGTATTTTGTATTCATTGTATGGTCTGTTGATTTCTGGCTGGTCTTAACTATACCGTACATACTGAATTTGCTTATTACCTCGGGTCGGTACGACACCGAGGTCTTAAATTCGGCTCCTATTTTTTTTTTTTTTTTTTTTTTTTTTCTTGTTTTTTTTTCCATTTGTGTCGAGCCGCGCGCGTAGTCGAAGATCGAAGGCCTGCGGAGGAGACGACAACATCCGGTAAATAAGTGTACTTCCGGCAAGCATCGGCCAAAGCGAAACGGAACACGAAGCTGTCCTTGCACAAAATCCGTCAGAATTGTTGATTTAAAACCAGAAGATGTGATAATTTTGACATACATGTTTAGCTGGATAACTATTCTCGAGTATATGTTGATATAATGCACAATACTTCGTATGCATAGCATGGGAATACCGCGGCCAACTTTCACTTGTTATCTATTATAATCACTGACCCGAATCAAAAGTAATTATTTTCGGCTGGAAGACTACTGTACGTTGCTGCTTGTCGGGACCGTATGACAATGAACCTATCCAACGTTACACTAGACATTTGTGAGGACATGCATATAGACATAACCATAGGCACTGTAGTGCATTGTGATAGAACAGATTTCAGTTTAATTAATCGCCCTAAATTAAAATCTCCACAAGCGCAGGTCAATTATAGTGTTCTAGTTTACATATCATTAATGATAAGGTTTACTCAAATAGCGTATTGGATAAACACGGGAATAGAACTTATGGTGTATTCTGCACATGCGTATATCTAGGATAAAATCCCACAAGCGCAAACAAAACTATTTCTCTATAAAATTGAACTGAAAAGACTCACAGCGACCGTTTCCAACAGTGCTTCAGGCACCCGACGACACCGTATGGGGGGCCTTTAGCACTGTCACCTTCTCATCTTGGGATGTTCACGTTATCGCGTGTACATGTCAGGGTGACGAAGATGCATTATTGCTAATAATGCATATGTCTGTGTGCACTGATGCACGCTGCATTATTTTTAATAATGTTGTGTGCTATTTTAACGCGTACATAGAATATGACGCGTATAAACATTTACCCCTGAGCCGGAATTTCACTATACAATCAAAAAAGCCGCTCCCGTTTTTCAGTAGAACGTTAAATGAAAACTTCTCGACATTTGCTGATATAATGCAGAGAGAAAACAATAGGTTTGATGAGGGCCAGTAATTATTATCAATAAAATATTAAAACGGAGCTTTGATTAACTGATTCACCATTTATACAAGTGAACTATTAAACTATCGTGATTTACACAATTTTTGGATATTTACCAGACGATCCCCTATCCACCGACCCGAGGTTAACGCCGAGTCGGCGTCTTGTTACAAATAATTTGTAATTCATTTCAAGCGTTAAAAGCGAATCAATTTCATCTCAATTGTTGTCGATCGGTTTGGTATAATATAAACTTACAGGGTGCGTTTCGTCTGTTCACTTTTTGTTTGAATAAAATTTGTCTATAAGGTAAATGACACGAAGACATGGCATCGAGAGTTCGGTCACTGTCAACTATGACTATAGTATGGCATTTTAAAAGAACGATGCTTTGCATGCTATTTCATGCACTTGTGCCTGCCAAAAAGCATAGTAGATCGACTATATGCTACATACACAATATAATGTTATGCACGTGCATTTCTTAAACATGCAACGCAACTAGGGGGAAGTTAGTGGGATTGAAGCATGTGCATAGAATATGTTATCATCAACCATGCTTTTGTTATGTTAGGCATGTGTCACATGCATTAAAAAGTGCGAGCCGCTAGTTGCAAGTTGCGGCTTGCACGTTACGATTATATTGTTAATTTCTAATAATATCGGGTTTCATTTTAACCCAAGGATAACAATAACCTAGTTTTGAACCTCCGATCTAGGTGTTTACACCTATGGTTTGCACTAAAAAAATCAAATTGAAAACTGTATGGCATCCTGGCAGATGGGATTTTAACTTTTTCTCAACTTGGCGCCAATTTTCAGCGTTTGAAATAAAATTTGGTTTATTTATCTCTTCTCTCCTGTCTCGTCCATTGCATTTATTTTTATACTTACAAACTTGTAAATAGCAATAGTTTTGATTTACTGATCATGGTTTTTCCCGTGTTTAAATATACAAATAATGAATGTTTATGAGTGCAATGGTAAGAATATTTTCATGAGGTGAAAGATGGAATGTTCCATTCAACGAGGCGACAGCCGAGTTGAATGGAACATTCCATCTTTCACCGAATGAAAATATTCTTACCATTGCACGAAGAAAAATTCATTATTTGTTTTATATAATACCAAAATAGACTAATAGATTCGTATGAGAAGCATTTTGAGGGATGCGATTTATCGAAAACACAAAGAGTGCAATTGTACTATATGTTTTATTCCATTGCACTCGCGGAGAGTGCAATGGAACGTGTTCCATTGCACTCTTGGGAAATGGAATTTTCTATTCAATATCACATGACCATAAACAGCCAATTAAATGATTAGAATTTAATAAGGTATTATATAATAAAGTTTATGTTATATTTTTACTGTATGTATGTATAAATTGAATTATTTTAACTTCAGTTGTATTTCCGATGAAAAAGACTTGAATTTAGGGTTCCGGGTATATATAAACAAACTGAGTCGGTGTATGGTCATACTTACTAAATTATACATTTAAATAACCATTTTAAGAAAAGAAAGCACAAAATGATCTGGATAACTATTTAGTTGATTTAAACACAGAAACGGCAAATATACACTTACAGTAATACACATTGATTTTCAATATAATTATTATAAATTCTTGAACATGCCGATGGATCTGCCAATGTAAAGAAACAAGTAAAGCCAATTTCCACTTCAACCGTATCGTGACGTATCGTAGCATTTTCTTTTGTGTCAAAGTCATTAGTTCCATTCTAATGCTCATGAGGAAACAAAAAAATACGCTTCGGTACAATGCGACTGAAGTGCACGTAAAACGGCCTTAATTGTGTCGATGGCTACATTAACCATTCAAATATAAAAATGCTTACCAGGTGTGTCGTTACTTACGAATAATATTAATTGTAATTTTCCTTTTATCCTCAACATGTTGCACGGTCGTATGATCTCCAAAAATTGCCGGCTGGCTGCCACGAACATTGACGTGGTATGACTTATCATGTTGCTTCTCTTGTTCTTCATTACTCTCCTTGTCAGTTTGATCCATTAACTTTAAAAGCTTTTTTTATTAGAAAATGCTATTTAACAAAAAGCAAGAGTGAATAAGATTAACACTCACATTTCTCCCCTCGTACCATAGGCCATTAACAAGGGTTTATTTGATAAAAACATATTCGCTCAATTTCTGAAAGTTCAGAGAATTGTTCACATATAATTTCAAGTAAGATTTCGAGCTTCGGTAGACAGAAACTTGATTATGATAATAAAATTCGTAATGCCCTTTTTGGACCCTTCAGTTCACTTATAGAATATTATGCAAGAATATTGTGAAATGCCACACTTAGCAAGCAAACCAGAACTAGTGTTGTGATAGCAGAGAACATTGACAAAGCGTTTCTGTATCAGCGTTAGCTCGTGTCAGTGATGTTAGAATAAATACCATTTTCACTGCTTTTTTAACAATTTGGCGTGCATGTTCATTCCAGTTCATATAGAGCCACCGGACTATTACGGAGAATTGATCCCTATGACAGTCGGAAAATCATCAATTCTTTCATTGCCTTCAAGCCGGTGAGATTTTTTCTATGCTGAAGTATGTCCTACAATTACTAATAAATTAATGATTTTACCAGTGTTTTTATACTTTTCATGTCAAATTATATGAAATTCTATCAGGCTTTCTGTACAATTCGGTATTTGCGAAGGGACTACTGTAAAGGATTTCAGGATATATTTGTAAACCTTTATATGTACAACCAGTGTGTAATTATCAAACTGATTTGAAATCCGGCACTGTGTTAAATTTAATATACACTATTATCCTCTATCCAAAAAGCTATAAAGATTTTACGACGTTTTTAACCCTTGAACGTAACGAAGTCACTGAGACATGTGTTTTATAAGTGGGAATGACAACAGTAACGGCCAGTAACATAGACTGTACTGATCGACTGATTAACCCGCATACACTGGTATCATTATGTCATCATTTATATTAAGAACATTGGCATTATACGAATACTGAGGAATTGTTCAAATTTAAATGGAGCTGTGAAAGGAGACACTTGTGCGAAATTTTGTGTGAGCTAAGCACACTATTTTAAGCATAGCGTTATAGAATATCCATGCAGTATATATATATAGTGCATGTACTTAAGTACTGCATTTAGCAAGCCTGATAAATTCTGCTGAACGCGAAACATGACAGTGTTCATTCTCAATCTTAATTATTCACAGATAATATGATACAATAGTAGACACAGATGACAGCAAACCTTAGTAGGATGATATCAATATAATTTTGACTATAATCCCACCGATTATATATCAAAGGACCAAGTACTCGTATAGTTATACATCTTACTTATTCAAATGCAATATTACATACCTTATCAAGTTTTATTGACTCCTGTATTTACAAATTTTATATTCATCGTTTGCGATGCGTTTCTAGTAAAGGCGAATAACAATCATTTGTTTCAATAAACGTAGCAGGGAACGATCGAGTTGTGCGGAGCCCTTTAATTTTCTCAATGCGATAAAAACATGATATAATCCTGGTCAACTCCGTTCATTTGGATGTTTCAGCTTTACAACTTCCGCTCTATAGGCTGCAAGGTTTGCAAAGCAGGAACAACAGATCAAATTACTGATGCATAGCATGACATGACATTTAAATTTAAAAATAACTGAGATTGCACAATACTATCACGTACTGAATACTGTAATTTGCGTTTATTATCAAGATCACTGATGAAAGCTTAAATTATAGTGTCCACAAAATTGAATAGCTGGGCCTAATGTTGGGACTAGTTGATTGCACTTCCCCCTGATATCTACTCAATGAGGACCAATGAGAGGCTTTCAATAGTCAGCACTCCCGGACGTACAGTAATATGACACCCAGTGATAGACTGTGATTACTACGCGCACTGGCAGTAAATATATTGAAGCTTATGCGAAAAACTTTGATTCGTATATTTCGAGGGGAAGCAAAGTTGAATAGGATAATATTTTTTTAGTTTCTACTGTAGACTATTTATTATTATCATTTGCAAATCTGAATTTCAGAATTTTAACTAAATGTACGTATATTCTGATGCAACTCTCCAAGTGCATCCAGACCAGCGAGCTGAAAATTTTACATGACTGTGGTACGAATCCAACTGCGACCTTTGGTTGCTGGTTCAATGGTCTACCAGCCGAGCTACATAAATATACGTAATCTTTGTTGATCCTGTTAAACTTTTATGAGAAGGCGCATGAATCGAATCAAAATATGAGTCAATCACATATCATGGTATGTGCCTGGTGTATACTGTAATATATATTGTCTAACCTCATATATCCGATGTTCTTAGACGGCGAAAAACAATCTAACTCGTTGAAGGGAAATTTCATCTATAGCCTAACTTTATAAAAAGGGGGATTCTCGAATGTATAAATTGGTAATTGCCAATTATAGCAATGGTTAATTATAATTTAGCTGTTAGGGTTATTCCCAAATTTCAGCAGTTAGAAGTTGAGACATCTTTCCAAAATAGCTCAATGTTAATCAAACTAACGCTTACTCGACTGTCCAAAGGTATACCGCTTTTAATTTGTATCATTCGTTGTTTAATAGTTTGGTTCATTACGGTTAAAAATCCGGCCAAATCTGACCATTCCGGTACCCCACTTGACAAATACTGTAAGTAAGCAAATTATTAAACTGCCCATTTGATCACATGGATGCGCTTAGCAGCAGGCAAACTAATTCACCCTGTTTAAAAGCTATCCCATGAAAAATATGGGTTCATTTGAATTCTTTTATTAATCCTATCCAGACTGGGGGAGGTGTCCGCACTGTTTTTAAAAGTTAATATCCGTCCTAAACAAATACAGGTATATGCATGGTTGCATATTTTATATTTTAAACTATTTATGGGCTTCATGTGTGGCAATTGGTAAAAAATATTAAGCCATAAAAGTTAGAGCGTAGTCGTATATACTGATCTTGAACGGCCTGTGCCAGTGTAGCCGTCGATACAGTAATTCCAATATTAACAATCTTTCGTTGATAGGGACTCGATAACCTGCAAAATATAAGGAGAAATTCAGGTAGTTGCATTCCTATCAACGAAAGCCCTTGTTAATACTTTGGTATACTGTGGGTGGCTCGCTACACTATTTTAAAAATTAAATAAAAGATTTTCTGATTTGGATATGATTTTATGGAGAATTATTAATTGTTTAAATACAAAGAGTATCTGACTTGTATAATACAATAACTAAGGAGTTCGGAATTTAAAAAAAAAAACTACTCCTCACTGCTGTTGCTATGGCAATAATGACGTCACAATATAACGGATATTTTATGTTTAAAGTAATTTATAAACTCGAAAAAAACTTCGGTGACACCCATTTTTTATTTCATAAAATGATTTATTTTAATATTTTGAATTATTTTCATGATTTACAAAAATTTTGTCATGCCAAAAAAAATTATTACGAATTTTCACATTTTCCTACCTTGAAAAATTTCGGCATTACAGATTTTTTTAAAATTAGAAAAACAATTCAAAATCCTAATAGAAATCATTTTATGAAATAAAAAGGGGGTCACCGAAGTTTTTTAGATTAAATTACTTTAAACAAAAACATCCGCCAAGTTGTGACGTCATTGGTGCCATAGCAATGGCATTGAGGAGTAGTTTTTAAAAAATTCCGAACTCCTTAGTTATTGTGTTATACAAGTCAGATATTCTTTGTTTTTAAATAAATAATAATTGTCCAGAAATTCATATCCAATTAAATCAGAAAATCTTTAATTTTTAAAAAATTGTAGCGAGCCACCTTAACCGAAACAGGTAAGAAAATAATTCTAAAATTCCGAGGTTTGCAATTAATGACATTAGGTTTTAACAAGGTTTTTGCTATGACAAAATAAATGTCATAATATACTTGAACAGATCATACGATGCACATGTGAAAGTTTGGTCGAAAGCGCATGTGAAAGTTTGGTCGAAATACATTGAGTGGTCCAGGAGAAATTGACCCGGAGAAAACTTTCCGCCTCCTGTGCACTCCAGCCCCTCCACTCCCCTCATATTCCCCGGAATTGTGCCGTAGCGAGATTACTTCGAAATTAGAAATGTCTATTTCGAAAAATGTCCAAAATTTAATAAATACTATTTATGAATAATAATAGATGAATGAAGTAAGATTAAGCGTATGCGTTTTGCGAACAGCTTGATAGAGCTTTTGTTACCGGTTTTATTTATTTAAACTTTAATTGGAACTACGATGGACCAATTTACCTCGTTTTGCCTGCCGCTGCAAAGTTTATTTATTTTCAACATGTGATGCGATTAATGCTAGTTTAAAGTACTATTTGGAATTAATCGTGCGTATATTTATTTTGACAAATCAGATTGCTAGAAACACCATTGAGCATACAGTAAAAGCCAAAGTAGCCATACATTAAAATTCTTGAACATAGTTACAGGATGCTCTTGAACATAATTTGCTCTCCTTTTTTTAAGCTTTTATAAAACATTAATACAAGTTAAAATCGAAAAAACTTTCGCATAAAATGAGAAGGAATGTTCATGCTCAGGGTCTTCAGGCGAAAAATAAACAGCAAAGTGATACATATGCATAAACAGTTCTAATAATTAAACTATAATCGTTTCTTTAAAATTTGAAAAAGGTGATATATACAACTTAATGTATATGTGTGAAGCTTACGCTTTACTGTCGTGTTTTCACCTGGCAAACATGTATATTTTTGAGATCACGGTGATATGACAATCCATGCGTAGCCATGCCCCTGCGATTATTGATAACCTTCACTAAAAACTTTCCTATCCCCAGGTATAAATATCCCAGCGTACCATTGCCACGGGTTTTGCTCTACACGCGCTCCTTGCGTGGCTCGGTGATAAATTCAAAGGTGAAGCTCATACACCCTGATGATATAAGCCTAAAAATTGTATATAATCTTCCGCTCGAAATTTCCATCTACCGAAAAGTCTCCAACTGTTATTTCTATCGAGCGAGATGCCCCAAAATTGCCGTCACCAGAATAACTCTGTATCAAATTATCTTTGCTTTCAATTTGATAAACTCAGTTTGGGTACGTTTTGCAACATCAGCGGAATCTGCTAGGCTATACAATCCTGTAGCAAATGCGACCTGGCGAACAGTATCGACGACTGATTTCCCTAAGTTTTGGTCTGGTGCTGCAAATTTTGTTTTCTGTACACTATTTTCATGGGCAAGAGTTATTCCCAAAAAGATTCATGAGATACTCGATTACTTTTTGTCTCGAATTCATCGACTTATCAAAAGACAAACGTTACTTCTGAAATAGATTTGAAACACTGCGTGCATCCGAAAACAGGTATTAATTAAGTCGTTGTGAAAATATTTCGTGCGCTTAAATTAGATACAACTCGCCGTCAATTTCCGTTTGCTCGATATAGTTCAAACCCGACGATGCATGCGACTTCGAGTCCTGCGCGACACAACGAATTGACGTTCTCTGCACTGTCAAATATGGAACTATAGCTGCTTTCGAAACTCTAAGTTGCAGGGTAGTATTTTCTTTTATTCTGATACAATAATTAATTATGTGTGATTTATAATGTCAAAAGTGTTAATAGTCGAAAAGAAAATAATTATAATTAAAAGAGAAAACAGGTTATTGAATATTGCATGTAAAATGCAGAATTTCGGACTCATGTCGAACGCATTGTACAGGGTGTACGTATAAAAAAGTACACTGTTGGAAAAAGTTCACTAAAGTCTGCAGACGTCACGATGCGTGCGACGTTTGCGAAAACATCCAGTAAGCCTATGTACTTTAACGTTTTCTGCTACATCTAGCAGTAAAATTATTGAAAATGCAAGCGTTTTTAGAGTAGGAAAGCTGTTGCCAGTGTTGTAACGAGTCGAGTCATTGACTCGGACTCGAGTCAACTCGAGTCGCTATTTTCAGCGACTCGACTCGAGTCCAAAACGAAAAATGACTCGATTCGAGAACAGCCCCAAATGACTCGACTCGGACTCGACTTGCTGATTTTGCCGTAAATGACTCGAGTCAACTCAGCTACATCTTGTACAGAATAAATTCATCAAAATTATTGTGATTGTATTTCTTGGGAAAAATAATGAGCCCTGTGAACAATGAGAACTTCGAAGCTTTATCAGAATATATATGGGATTTGCATACATGTAGAATACAATATATTCCTGACGGGCATGCCTATATTACATTTCTGTTTTTAGGAACAACGCTAGTGCCACAGTTTTTAAAATGGAGTTTCAAAATCTTTTGTACTTGTACTAATTCTGACCGGCTATCTTCATTTTTGGTATTTATGAAGTGCTATATAATTTCGAATTAACTTACAAGGCGTGGTTAATTAAAGTATATTCTTTGTTAATTCTGACTCCAGTTGCAAGTTATGCTAGATGTATGTACGTAAACTCGATCAGCAGGCATAATGAGACATCTCATGTGGTTGTACTTAATATTGACTAGAACTGTGATATTGGTATAGGCTATGGCTACCCAGACACTGTTATTACATGACTAAAGTGATTACCTTAAAACGTAAATTTGATTACAATTTGATTACAAATTTCAAAATGCAAGCTAAGGTAACGAACGATTGCAGAAAGCGCGGGTTGGACCATTCTCGTCCCCAGAGCCATTTTCACTCGGTCACTCGTTGAAAATTAGGCTCTGGGTTAGACGACTACTAGCAAGAGATCTGATTGGCTTCTGAGAGCTAGAAATGCTATTTCGCAGAAGTTGAGCAGCTTTCGCTAGGAAAAATTATTCTATCAACATATGTCAACGCAAATACTTCGTTTCTTCGTAATACTTCACTTTAAAAATTGTTACGGGTGCTAAAGTGTCTCAATTCAAGACCATGCGCTTTAGAAACTACTGCAAGTTTTCTTGCACTTCCGGTTCAGTATGTTCCAGGACCTACGGAGGACGCGAGAGGCCCTGGGGACAAGGATGTGGGTAAACTTGATCAACTTCCCTGACTCAAGTTAAGTCGATCTGCTATTGACTCGACTCGACTTAAACCAGTGACTCGACTTGACTCGAGTGAAACCGCTGACTCGACTCGACTCGAGTGAAACCACTGACTCGACTCGACTCGATCAGAAACTGAAATGACTCGACTCGTGACTCGACCTTTGAGTGACTCGACTCGACTCGTGACTCGACCTGTAGGTGACTCGTCACAACACTGTCAATGCCTCCCATAAACTTGTTGTACACTTCAACAATCTTTGGTCTCTGGATTTGTACATGTTTCTTCTCCTTGTACTACTTTGTTGTCTTTCCACTGAACACATATCACATTCGCGTTTCTTTCAACCTGGGCAACACAATGTCCTCCAGCTTGTTACCTGTCACACGATTCATCTTGACTGTTCCCATATAATATATTTGTCGCTTCTTCAACTTTCCAGCAAGCGCAACGGAGAAATAATTATCAGCGAAGGCCTTGAAATTTTTCCCATCTGGCAATGAATCGGTCATTTTCTCTACAGCCTCAGTGGATCGTCCCATGCAGCTCTGAGACTTGGTCATCTGAAACAGGTTGGCACACGTCAAAACTGATACATGAATACATCAGGCTGATCGACCCCAAAGTCTAAACCCCCCACATATGAGGCTTTTTAGGCATATAAACTTTGAGGCTATTTGGAAAATTTTGCAAATCCTTCCAAAGGAATGTCGGTCAATCAATGAGATTATCATTCCATTCAAGGATAGATCTAGCCTCAGGGCCTCTTTTAAGGATTTGTAACTTGGGGGGGGGGGGGGCATATTTCGCGGGGGACCTGGAGAAGTTCCAGTCGGCAAATCTGTATCACTGTAGCTACCAGCATATATATGCATGGTTTAATTAACTAATAAGTATACGTCATAGGGCAGCAGATCAGGCCTGTAACTAGGATTCTGAGACAACCGAATCGACCACCGAAGGTGCGAACCGTCTAGAGGGGTCTGGGGGCATGCTCCCCCCCCCCCTTCGAAAATTTTGGATTTCTTGAAGCTCAGATAAGCTATTTCTAGCATTGTGAGGAGTGTTCCAACAAGAAATTAACCTTATAAACAGTGACAAAATTACTGCAATTTTACAGTCTCCTAAATGTAATCCAGTCCCAATAAGGCAACATGATGTGATGATTGCGGTAATGAAAATGTGCGTGGTATAGTATCATCATTCACCACATATCAAATTCTACAGTACTGTATTACCAATACAACTGTATTGGGGTACGTACTTGACATCGACGCATACGTCTTCTCAATGTCAGTGAAGAGCAAGATAGGGTGGTCTCTTTGGAGTATCTTTGCCTGGAAAAACTGAACTAGAATTTCGTCCTAAAATGCCATTTCATGCCTTTTTCCACGAGCAAATTATTTCAGCCATGGTTTAGGTTTCTGGCGATGTTTAAATTTTGGTCCCCAAATGCCTACCGAGTCAACTGACTCGGTTGACTCGTAACTAGTTACGGGCCTGCAGATGATGGTCAACTGAATTCAGAAATGTTAACAACTTAACATCATTTTAATTTCTCACTTTGATCAGGTGTATTTTAAGAAAAATTTAGAACTGCACACATAGGGATGTTACGAAGGCAACGGGTGTTTGACTGGGGGGGGGGGGCAACCTCGTCCCCAGGGCCTTTGAAGGATTTTTTACATGCATATAGGTGACAGAATAATCGTGTGGTTGGGTGGGAGAATTGGAGAAAGGCCAGACAAACTCGATTTTGAGTGCAGGAGGGGTGTTCCCCAAGTCTACAGTAGAGGCTGTTAAGTTCTGGCGAAGATTTGTTTACCCAACCACTCACAAAAACTGTTTCAAAACATGTAACTGGGAATCATATATTTAATATATAACAACCTTAAGTTTACATTTGAGGCAGCAAATAATGTTAGGTTCTCCCACTATAATCTCTTCTTTTCCATTCCCCCAACACGTAAGTGATTTGTGAGGAAAATAGGAGCTAGGGTCTGGAGTCCTCCCCCAGAAATCGTTTATATTTTTAATGCTCAATTAATTACAGCATTTCTGGAATTTTCTGGAGCATCCATAAGGGTAACGAGTAAATGAGAAGACTGTTTTAATTAAGGCTATTTTTGTTAGTTTGGTGACTGCACATTTGTGTTTTAAGAACTGCACAAATGGGTTTAGAACTGCACATTTTGTGTAGAACTGCACGTTAAAATAAACCCTGACTTTGATAGTTATTATTGCTGGTTGACCACCTACTGCAGGTAGTTCTTAGGGGCCTCACTGGGGGGGGGGGGCAAAATTACCGACTGAAGGGGCCAGTAAGAGGGCTGGGGGGACATGAGGTTGCGTTCCAGTTATATTCATTTCAATGGTTCGGACAAATACCGTTGCTACGTTACAGTTGCTACTTGCTAAATATGAATGGATGTGGTAATATTTATCAGGGAAGGATTATGTCGGTAAATACTAATACTAATTTCCGTCGTCAAAAATCACCATAACCGCAAAAATCACCTGACGACGTCAATACGTCATTTTTGGCTCGAGTCATGGCTCGAATCCTGGCCTGATAAATAGGTATCCTATTTTCATGTTTGAATGGATTTCATACATGCAGTATTTCCTGGAAATTTGAGGCCAAACTTGAAAGCCAGTCCCAGTCTTGTCACACATGCGTCCGTCAACATGGATATGTATTCTTGCAAACCGGCTTACAGCGATCGAAGCTTTTTATTAATAATTTATTCAGACCAAACTTCCTAGGAGACTTTACTTTTAATTTTTTCTTATTTCTTCCCAATTGTTTACGCAAAAGAATCGCAAAGCATAAACACGTGGGTCTTGACCCCCAGACACATGCACACGCGTGCGCATGTCTATTTGAAGGTAGCCGTCCCGTTATATTCATTGCACTGAGTTTTTCAGAAGTTATGATTGATCTGAGCACGTGATATGAGCGACTATACTAGTAAGCGCCATGACTATGTCACGTGCTGCGCTCAGCAACGCTCAACTTTGCACTTACAGTATATATAATCCACTTCCATTTGACTACAATTCGTAATAAAAAAATATAGAATAAAACATATTCCGAAACTTGCATCTTGTAAATCCAAGATATCAAAGTGAAGACAAATTCAAGAGAGGAAGAACTGAGATATTTTAAAAACTGATTTAGCTTCGTTTCTGTTTGCGCTCTGTGTTTGCGCTCTGTGTTTGCGCTCTGTGTTTGCGCCTCTGTGTTTGCGCTGTCATTCCATGTTAGAGATCAGTGATGCATAAATTTAAATGTATACTTCGGAAGGGTGTCGGAGATCATTCGCTGATGATCGCAACGTATATATTTCCGGTCAAATTACGTGGCACATGTGACGCGCCCTCGCTCCACAAGTCGAAACCTGCACGACAGTTTTGTAAAAATTTTATTCCTCTTCAACGACAGAAAAGTTGCCATAAAAGAGGGAGCTTTATTTGAGAATCTTACCTACCGTTAGCGACGTATAGTTGGTCTTCTTCGCCACTTTATTACACGCTTTTTGACTCGACATACGCTTACATCATTCGACTTTCATAATGGGAGCCTTCGCTAGCGTGTTCAAAAGCTTATTCGGGAAGAAGGAAATGCGAATCCTTATGGTCGGTCTAGATGCCGCTGGAAAGACAACAATCTTGTATAAATTAAAGCTAGGCGAAATTGTAACAACAATTCCGACGATAGGTAAGGTATCAACGTGTTTCTTGTCCGAATTTAAACCGACTTTGTGTGAGGTTTCACGAAACGTCTCTTAGTCGCCATTTTGAAAATATTGAAATACAGTCAGCGCATCAAGTTTTTGATTTCACAACTTATTCCTCGCTTTATCTTTTAGGATTTAATGTTGAAACTGTCGAATACAAAAATATTAGTTTTACAGTATGGGACGTTGGTGGTCAGGACAAAATTCGACCACTCTGGCGACATTATTTCCAGAATACGCAAGGTTTGTTCGAGTGTGAAACTTTGTCAATTGATGTAAAATCAGGTTAACTTTTGATATTTTTTTTATCTGTACTAACAAAGGCATATTGCTTGTCTCTTCAAGGTTTAATTTTCGTTGTGGATAGTAACGATAGGGAACGAGCAGGGGAGGCTAGAGAGGAATTAATGCGAATGTTGAATGAAGACGAGCTCAGAGATGCTGTGCTTTTGGTGTTCGCAAATAAACAGGTAAACTGCCATTATTTTTGAAAATATGTGTTGAAATAGTGTGTAAGAGCGATTTACTGGAGTTGTATTCGTATATTATTTGACCATTTTAGGTTCCTTTCCAAGGAAAATATATCAATTAAATAAGTGATTGCATCACAAATTATATCAAGTATATATTATAGGTCAAAATATTTGTTTCCGCCTTTAATAGTTTCGAAAAAAATGTATTTATGTACATAAAACTCGTACTTTCTGCCTTCTTAATTTTACTCTTGCAATCAGTTTTACAGGTTCTACTGTATTATTAAAGTCCCTAACATTTTTATTTTATCATCTGATTGGATATCTGGTGAGGGAGTGTAAAATCTGCTCTCAGGAATTCTTCTTTTCCAATTTTATTATATTGCTAACTAGTAATCAGTCAGTAGTAGTTTCATTTATCTTCCGAACCAGTTTTCGTAGCTATTGGGCCATTCTTCACCACTATTCACAAAACAAAGACTTTTATAAAATTTTGAGTTCCAGTAAGCTGTTGTGGTGATCCACATATATGGATATTTATAAAGAACGAAACCTAATTTTATATATATCGGAGTTTCACACTCAATGCGATGATGCTTAATTAAGTCTTGGTTAAAGATTCCTGTACATAAAGGACTCTTTAACTGAAACTCAAGCATTGTCGCCTGAAGGTTGCATTGAGCGTGAAACTCGGAGTTGTGAACAAAGTTAAGGTTACAGAACACCTTTGAGTGTTAATTTTGCCTAAAAAATTTTTTTATTGGTTTCAATCAAAGCATTAGACTAGTTCTACTATCTGACCAAGTTGGACCTATCTGACCAAAAATGTTGAAAACTCGCAGAGTTATTTAATAAAATACATTTCGCTGCAATAAGAAAAACATTGAAAATGTAATATTCAAATTCAATTTTCTCCCGAAAAATTTTAAGGTAATTACTGATTTTCAAATGAGTTGTGCTCCTGCGGGTTTTAACCAATTCTCAAATTTTCACAGGACATAGCTAAATACGTCAGTTTCAAAATTGTGTTCGGCTTTTTTTTAATTTTGGATATTTTAAAAATAAAGAGCAATTCACTGAAACAATTCAGAAATATATTGCAGTCATCAAAGAAATCGCCATATCAGCGGAATGACGAAATAAACAAAAAATTTCTGAACACAATTTTTTAGAACAACTATTTTACTGTATAAAAATGATATTTTCTTAAATATAGCTTAAAACCAGCAGGAGCACAACTCGAAAGCGTAAAGGTACTGCGAATTAAGATTTTCCTGAATAATTCTCACATCATTTTATTGCTTGTTAATTTTACAACTTTACCATATTTTGCATGCACTGGAGAACATTTGTTGAAAATTTGATGAAAATCGGAGTGATATTGAGCGCACAGTAGCGATTTTCTGCAAAACTCCAAAAAGGGTGTCCTGTAACTTTAATTAATGTTCGCTCTGTCTAATAAATGGTATTCGGGTATTGGGCGTTTTTTCTGCGCCACAAAATTTGATAATTATTGGTCTCATTATTATTACAGTATATATAAATATATATGTATATACAAATATACAAAGAGTGTTACTGTCGTTCCAATTGAAGTGTTGCTCAAATATTGATTCAATACATTACCTCTGGCTGACCAATTCATTTCATCAAGTTCCTTGAGATGTTCATACACTTCCTAGTATAATTGTAAACTTCCTGTTGAATAGTTTGAATGCACCAATCACCTTTGTTGTTTGTGCAACTAACCAACCATAAATAGAAAGGAAGTGACCAGAAATGATCAAATACTTGGAATTGGCTTGTTCACAGGAAGTGTATGAATATCTCGAGGAACTTGATCAAATGAATTGGTCAGCCCGAGGTAATGTATTGAATCAATATTTGAGCAACACTTCAATTGGAACGACAGTAAAAATGGTTTGAATTTTCTTATAATGATCATGCACAACAATTTTAAAACATGTGGAAGTTGTGATAAGTATTTCTACAGCACTGGTCAGCTTCACAATCGCAGTTGCTGTGAAATTGATTAAAGACGAAGATTGAAGAATACATTAAGTTGACCCACTGAATGCAGCATGCTCTGCTTGACGAGTAATATTGTTCTTCCATTAGCCAGACTGAAATAATAAAGTAGGGTGCATTAGGGCACAATGCAACTTCACAGGTAAAAATGCAAAAAACTGATGGCAACAGATAGTCAATGACCTGTTAGTTTAGTACAAATATTGCATTTACATTAGGGGATAATTAATTCAATTCCAATTTTTCCCTTGTACATGATGGAATTTAGTGTTAAGCACACTAAAAGAGTATGCTACCACCAAAATATTCAAGGATATTGTTACTTAAGTTAATCCATTGAGCACCAGTGCTCTCCCCCAAGTGACGAGTAAAATAATTTGGCATTAGACAGAGTAAAATAATAACGTGGGATTGTCATTAGGGTGCAGTGCAGTTAATGGGCCAGGCACTTGTGTGGAGGCAGATCTGATGAACCCATTGAACACCAGGACTCTTCCCCAATAGTAGGTTGCATTGGGGTTCAATGTAACTTGATGTTAATATTAATTATAAAATAGATTTACTATGATGCCTGACTTCCTTTAAAATTTATAAAAACTATTAAATCTAATAAAATAATGGAATTTCAAATTTTGTACATGAAACTTTAAATTAAATTGCTTACCAATATTTTAAACTTTAAATTAAATTGCTTACCAATATTTTAAGTCTAAATGTCTAATTGCTTTTGGTTAAAATTATTAGTTACCACAATTTTAAGTCAAATTGTTGTTTGGGTTGTTTTGGTTAACTGGTACTAAGCTTGCAGTTTGTGTACATATATATGCTTAAAAACTAAACCCTTGAAAATAAATAATAATAAATGGCACAACTTGAACTAAATCAACTTGCTTTGTAACTAACCCTAAGCCACAAGTAGCCTTCTGGTTCAAACTCCAATATAATTCAATACAAACAGGCCTTTGTTTTTAATAACTAACTTTAATTGACTAAAACTAATTTAATTAAACAACACTAACCCGCGTTCCTTGCAGGATTTGCCTAATGCTATGAACGCAGCTGAAGTTACTGACAAACTTGGTTTGCATTCCCTCCGACAGCGGGATTGGTATATTCAGTCCACTTGTGCAACCAGTGGGGATGGTCTTTATGAAGGATTAGATTGGTTATCAACTGCACTAAAACAGCGAAATTAATAAAATAGTAAAACGTGTAGAAAATATTGCTTCTGTCCATGCAACAGCCAGTGGCACTCATCCAAACAAAGATTACAAGCAAGCATGCATTTAACACTGGCCAATGACTGTGAATTTTAAATTAATATTTATATAAACTTTAAACTTAAATGATATAAACATATCTTGTTTAATTTAAATTACATATCTTGTGCATTCAATATGGAGCTGCCATATATATATATTTTATAAATTGTAATTATACAATACGATTTATTTTTTGTTTCTGTGAAGAATGTATTTAAACGAGTTTTTTCCTGCAATCCTGGTATTTTTAATTGTCCTAAAAAAACTGCATACAACAATGCTCATTAATTTCTACAAGGACAGGAAAACGGCCCAGCACACACCGTAGTTTTTCTTTAATAGCCTGCATCAGGAAACAAAAAAGAATTGTTTAATAAATATACTTTCTTCGTGACAGTCGGAGTGAAATAATTTTTAATTGGTTAAAGTTGATTTATAATTAACAATTAAGCACGAAAATTGCAAGGACTTATTGAGTACAACGTGTAGGAATGTTAAAATTTACGATCATACAAACATTTAAAAATAAACAATCAACTTTTATGTTAACATACAATAAATCTTATCCTTTAACTACAAAGTTTTTTACTGGAAAACCTGGCGAATTATTTAAGCTTATTCGCACACTTTTTTCTTTAATTAACGCAAGATTTAATGTTGTTTGGAACCAAATATCTTGATCCAATAGTAATCCAAAGAGCGCCTTTCTTGTGATTATTCGTGGAAATTTTTTCAGCACCAGTTTTATATGGAAGCATATATCGAGATAAATTAATTCTGATCTTATGCTGGATTGATCTGACAAAAGTATGCTATTATTATTAAAAACTAATTACCATAGCATTAAAAAGTAATAGTAACGATAACAATATCTTTAACAATTATAATAATAATAAGAGTAAAGACAGTGACTATTAATAAAATTAGTAATAAATTAATTGAAAATACATACAATTTTAGCTAAAGGTGAGGTGGTTATCATGCGGAGATATTCACCACAAGCATAATCAGTTTTTTAAGATCACACAAGTGAACGTAAGATTCCAACTAAGGATTGACAACATATATAAGCTTCTTTTCAATCTCGTTCTTAAAAAACCCCATTAAACTAAGCATATATCTACTTGCCTGTTAAACTTTTGACCTCTTTTGTTTTTCAGGATCTCCCTAATGCCATGAACGCTGCTGAAACTACTGATAAATTGGGTTTACATTCTCTACGAAACCGTAATTGGTATATACAAGCAACCTGTGCAACGAGCGGTGATGGTCTGTACGAAGGTTTAGACTGGTTATCTCAGCAGCTCAAGAATGCGAAGTAGACAGATTTGCTATAAAACAATACACATTAAAATTTGTGATTAGCCACATCACCTGTATAGTTTTTTTTTCATTTACTTTGAAATTCATAGCATCAGACTTTGCAGTAAGCAGCAACTGTCCATGCATGTAAACAGTGAAAGCTATCTGCCATTTCTTTCAAAATGTTATTTTTCTTGATTTTAGTTTTGTTTAATGGACGCGGAATGACATTGTGGTCAATGCTGAAATACATGTGCATATTCTTTTAATAGCTATATATTTACATGCTAACCAAATTGAATATGTGCATGTTCAACTATTAAATAAACTTGATAACAAACATTTCAATGACGAACATTCCCCTTAATTTACGATAAAGACAACAACGTGATTTGTAGCTTTCGTAATTTTAGCCCATTTTGCGGTATAAACATTATAGGTGGTACATTCTGATAAAGCGTGTTTGGCACAACAGACACTCGTTATAATATTGTATTTTGTGGTAAATTTTGGCATTTCAGTTAATCTGGTCATGGATAACATTGCAATATTGACTATAGCCAGTTTTCCACTTCGATCGTAACGTATCGTAGCATTTTCTTTTGTGTCGAAGTCTTTAGTTCCACACTACCGCTCAGGAAACAAAGAAATACGCTACGTTTCGGTACGACACGATTGAAGTGGAAAACTGGCTTAACGCTGTCAAGCCGCGTCCGTGTAAACAATTTCAACATTCCAGTCTATGGAACATTTCTAATTTAATATTATAACTGTGGTCAAATTTCATCGAACATCATCATGTTGGCGATGAGATGCTTACATAGGTACAATCTCTCTTCCTTACCTCCAGTAAAACTTGTGTAATGTGAAGTGCACGTAGTCTTTGTACATCGAAATTAAACAATGTGTGATAGCTTTTTTAAATAGTCGTTTTATGAAGTTTCACCAAGACTGTAATAAAAAGTTGTTGTGTCGTTATTAATGCTACCTATTTAACACTTTGTAAGACTAGTCTTCAAGTTCTAATTTAATGGTATGGCGAAAACAAATGGGAGAGCCTATATACCAGAAATAAAGTAATTATAGCCATAACACCGGTGTTTTTGGTATACCGTAATTAGCCTTTTCCAAAAGAGATCACAGTGCATTCTGGGATCATTTGGAGGGGACAAAATATATGGTGAAAGGCGTCAAATAAGTGAAAGAGTAGAAGTATCTATCAAATATCAACTTTTTAGACGACCAAAAATAAAATATCTCCTTTTTACATTAAACGTTTGATTTAAATGTATATGTGCTGCCATATTTCTTGTCCCTTCAACATGGGATTCGCGCGACTAGACCCAGGACTTTGGGAAATGGCTAATAACGGTATGACCTGGACGCCTGGTTGACTTTGTAATAAAAAATAACAAGACGCCAGCTCAGGTGTTCACTCTGGCTGGGGGGTGTGGGCGAAATACTGCGCTCATAATAGGCACAGCATTAGCACCAAAATGCACAACTCAAAAGCAAGGTGTGTCAATGCGTTTTATTTCTGAACAAGCCGCTTTGGAGCGTTCAGTCGTCATTTATGGAAATTTATGGAAATATAGGTAACTCCCCCCCCCCTGTAATAATGACCGAATTTAGCTACCCTCTCAAGGACTTTGACAGCCCCCAATCCAAAAAAGCTTTTTACGGCACTGATCAACAAGTGAAAAATAAAAAACTTTGGTCAACAAGTAAAAAATAACAAAAAAAACATTGTGTGGTATATTTCTACTGCAAATGAATTTTAGCAAATACATTGATGCAATGAAAACGAATCCATAAATTTGTCTTTGTTCATATCAATATAATTGTATAAATTCACGGGAACTCAGCGATCCAAATTTCGGATTTTCAGTGTCGTTGCAAAAAAAAGGCATTCGTTAAACTCGCAAGACTGTCCAGAGTTCGACACAATGCAAAAACCATAGAAAACCAGTTCTTATACACTAAGGTGGTCTTATACACTAAAAAAAATTTTTTTTTGTTTAACCATTTTTCAATCATATTTAAGTCAAATATGATTGAGGACGTTTGACTGATACAGAATCAGTTACTTTTACATTTTGTTTTGCCATAGTAACTTAGAAAAGGCTGCCGGTAGGGTAAAATATAGGGCTTGCGCCAAAAAAGATTCAAACCGAACGAAACTACAGGGAATCTCAAACAAAGTTTTATTCGGCACCTAAAAGGTTGGTCCTGTAACTCCATAGTTATCTTTTCTATAAGCATACGATGAAAAGGCTCCAATAAAGCGTTCTTTTCGCCGGATATAATCCCTGTGTGTAAGTGTTTTTAGGTTCAAATCATGGTTCGTTAATGATGTATAAACACCAAAAATTTTAGGCGAATTGATTCAGTACTAAATTCGGGAGAATTTTTGAAAGCGCGTGAGAAGCTCTTCAAGAAAACTGACTTTAAAGGTTTTGCATGCATTAGAATAACTTAAATAGAACAATGCCATTAAAAAGGGACACAATAGAGTAAACCAATTGCATACCATTATATGCTCTGGGTAAAATCATGGTTTTACCCTGACTGGTGTAGATTAAACCGGATTTCTCGCGTTTTGATATACTTTCATGGTTTAGAACCAGCGGATGTTATGTATGGTGGCCCATCATTATCACCGCTATTTTCAGGAATATTTTGCACATTTTATGTTATTTTAATTATTGTTTTCTTTATAAAATTGAAAATAACTGGAATATGTATGACAAATTGGAATTGATTATTATTTCGATTTGAGAAAAAAATTATTTACAAATGTATAATAATATTAATTATAAGTTGTAATTCAAATTATTTATTATTTTAAATTTAAAAAAAAAATATTAAAAATGCAACAGTTTAAAGAAATAAATTAAAATTTAATTGATAACGCTGGGCCGTCAGCCCGTTCGATTTTTCGATTTTTTTTTTCGAACGGCCCAGCGTTATCAATTCACTCCGTAAAGACTGGGTTCTAATTTAATTTCCCGCCATTTTGACCGCCATGTTGTTGTGCTAGTATGCTAGTATTTGCTATAAATAGTCAATTTATCGTCAATTCGCTCAACACTGCTGCAGCAGCAGTGTAGCCTGCATGGCAGGCGGTATTTCTACGGGCAGCGAAAATTAGGTATTTCCTACGTACCGCCTGCCATGCAGGCTACAGCAGTGCTGCTTGTTTGTTTTTAATAAATACTTGTACAGTATTCATGGCTGGAAATATCGACTGGAAGGGTAATGCTGAGCTTCAGCACGACTTGAAGAGTTATGTTAGTCAAAATTTACGACGATCTGAAGTACTTGATTTTGTACGACGTGATTATTCGCAGTATTCATGGAGTCTTGCTACTCTTGATAGACGTCTTCGTTACTTTGATATTCACTATATTGATTATGATACTCCACTTGCTGTGGTAGCAGATGCTGTACAAAAAGAATTGGATGGGCCTGGACGACTTTTGGGCTATAGAGCCATGAACCAAAAACTGCGAACAGAGCACAAAGTACAAGTGCCAAGACATCTAGTCCATAATATGATGGCAAACTTAGACCCAGCAGGTTTAGAGGCAAGAAACCTTCAAAAGAAAAGGAAAAAGCCAAAAGGACACTTTACTTCGGCAGGTCCATTGTGGGTAGTGTCGTTAGATGGACATGACAAGCTATGCGGTTACCAAAACTGGACATTTCCTCTTGGCATATATGGATGTATTGATACTTTTTCTCGAAAGATTTTGTTTTTATTTGTGTGCACTTCGAACTCAAATCCTTTTGTGGTGGGTAAGATGCAACCTCGTACCCAGGGCCTTTGCGCGGTTCAGAGGCTCTGGTACGGGAAGCAAAGGCCCTGGTAAACACTGGTCATGTGACTCCAAAAATATTGGACATTTCGTAATAATTTAGTTTTCAATCCGGGGGGAGCGGAGCAGATTGATTTTATCAAACATGGCAGCGCGAAGGCGCGACGTTTTCGAGTTTTCATAATATTATGATAAATAAAACTTTCCTAGTGAGATTTAAGAGTGGGTATATATTATCTATGCATTCTACGAGCTTTCTTTCAACAAATTGTGGAATAGCTAACGGTAATACTTATCAAAGATCGAAGATCAAACTGAGAGAAAACTAGTCGAGTGATCTGTCTTTAAACTGTCTATTTTGTATCCAATGCAGCTGCTTGTGTGCGACGTTTTATAAAGAATTAAATAAACATTGTTGATTATAAGTAATTTTTATGTATTGACCAAAGAATATCACTTGGGATTTTATTGTACTTTTATGGAAGGATAAATCAGAGGGGACATCTATGGAAACGAAATTCTTCATGTGTATTAAACATGTAGTTAATATCAAAGCAGAATATTTTGAAACAATTAACTGGTCGAGTGACAGGTTGGTTTCCGTATGTATGTAGTTTAAAATACAGTTGTGAATGAAATTATACACAGTATCTTGAAACCTTTGACTTTGTGTGTGTGAGTTAATTTCATATTTATTTTTTGGGATGTATCATCTATATTTCTGTTTGTCTGGAAGGGGGGGGGGTACCAATCCTGAATCATGAGAAATAATATACAGTGATCTTGAAACAACAAATTTACTATGAATCTTATATCAGTGATATGTGACTTAGGAGTCTTAAAGGCAAATAACAGTCTGTATACTGGGTGTGCATTCACCTATTTGTTTACATTTGCAGTTACTGTACATCGGTTCATGATTTATGAAATTTGAACCAAAGCTGTAACATAATATTAGTCACGGCACAAGTCACTATGCAGAGTTTTATTTGTATTGAGGAGGTAGGGCTTCTAAGAGAGACACAGAGGCTTAATGAATATGGTTACACTAAATTTTATCAGTAAGTAAATTTCATTTTTTACATCCTGAAACCAAAAATCACCATATGCATGAATTACATATCACTTTCACTTGTCACAGAGTGAACATACCAAATTCAAACAACATTCACACTGTTTCTAGATGAAATAATCAACCAATATTTTGGGCAAACAATATAATTCATGAGGGGAAAAAATAAATATTTATATGTGTGCAAATAGTTTCAAGATCAGCTAACAGGATTGAAACCAGCTTTCCCAGTTATGCTTGGAGCTGATGAGAACAGTTAGTTTTGAACACAAAATGGCATGGGACTTTAATTCATCTAGGTGGCAATATATTGCCTTCTCACCAGCACAATTGATCAAGTCATACACATTCATTACTGCCAATCTCTATTATTTATGTCTCATTACAAATACAATATATTTTTTATCATTATCAGCAGTATCATTACAACTTGTGCATCACCAATATCATCACAACTTGTATTTCACTACCATCATCATCATTATTCTCACCATTCTAATTTTATTAGTCAATCAGAATGAATAAAAAATTTCCTATCTTACACCACTCATATATTACTTATAAATTGCCCAAGGTCATGGCCATTTCACATCACTCCAGGATCTGAATACCCTGCAATCACCTTTTCGATATAATACTAAAAGAGAAACAAATGATAAATGTCTTACTGGCACACTGGAATATCATAATTGCCATAAAATAACTGTCATTTGAAACCACATTCTGCTGTAACAGCACAACTGCTCAAGGTTGCAAGGTAAATAATAGGGATGTAGTAAGGCCAGTATTACTGGTAATTGTCTTTTTACATTTTGCTCACAACCAAAGTCCAATTATATGGAGCAAAAGTTAGAATATCCAGCCACTTTTTATTACTCACTTAACCTTACACTTGACAAGTAAAATTGTCTGGTGTGGGACAGAGAAAAATAACAAAGTATGCCATATTTGATTATCCCATATTCCCATTACTATAGTGTGACCACACAAGACTCTCCCTAATTGGATGGGTAAAATTGGGGGCTATGGAGATTTAATGGCAAGAAGTGGGGGAAACATTTTCTCCAGTAAAATTTATGGGGGCCATTGGAAATTTATGGGCCGGCCATTGGAATTTTATGGGGGCCATTGGAATCATCAACCAGACTATTGAGGCGATAAAGAAAAGAATACCTGACTGTAAAATTAATGTAATCTAACTTTCTTGTCACACAAAGTTAGGTAACGTTGGCATTTTCACACTTTTCTATTATTATCGTACTATTTTGTTAAGTATTTATTGGATGAGTCAGAGACCAATGGATTGGTATGAGGGCAGTTAATTTGTAATTTTTGCATGTATTCATTTATTAACTGTTGACTACTGTAATGGTCAGCCAGTTAAATAAGTATTTTACTGAGGGTACTGCCTAATGATTTTACATGCCAAAGATAACTGAGCAAGCTGGAACAGAAAATTTTGATTTTAGTGAATTATTAAGTGAAGGATGGAGATAACCAAAAAATATATCAGGCATGAAGGAGGGTTTATATCCAAAAGGGATGGAGGAGTAATTAAACGAAGAAAACTAATTATATAAACAGACAGCCACGAATCTGCTGGAATTTAGGATATATAAACTGATAAATATTAAAAGAT